CTTGCTGGGTGAGTTCTCTTCTCCCAGTGCTGCGAAGCGGTTGCTGGGGTCACCCCCACCACTGTTGGAGCTGCCACCTCCATTGCTGGAGCTGCCACCCTTCCCAGTTCCGTTGCGGGCGGCGCCAGCGTAGTCTAGTCTTTAGAGCTGGGATAAGCGTCACCGGTGGCAAGCCGCTGGGGCTGTTTACCGTTGGTGGACGGTTTCTTGACAGACTGCTGTGTAGACTGCGGCGGAGGACTGGGTTTGGGGTTGTGCGAGGGGGTCTTAAGAGCGCCGTTACCGGCGTCCGTGCCTGCCTGCGAGTTCGAGCCGGCTTTGTTGTCTCTCTTGTTCTTGTTGCCCATGTTGAAAAATGGGTAAAACAACAGGAACAGACACGCAGAAACCGCTCTTCGTCGAAGCCAATATGAATACCCTCAACTCAGTGTGAGCGGTGTCCCAAAATGGCGAGGTGGTATATGCCTACCACCGAAGGCTGGCTGATTTCCTTTGGTGCAATGTGACGAGGAATGTCAAGCGGTGGTTGAGCATACTCAGCCAAGGCCAGGGTAAGGTTGCGAGTGGGCGCCGGCTGAGACCCTTCCTGGGTTCTCGGTACCAACCATAAAGATCCATCCCGACTCAGGTCGGGGTGAATAACCCACAAAGTAAAGATCCAGAGCAGAGCGATGAATTATCGTCTGTCGGATGTTTTTCACTCCCTTTGTATGTGCGTGTGTAAGTATAAGAAGATACGAATATCCTGGCCTCCACATACCACGTCTACTATTATTCGTGCGGGCCCCCCATTTTCCTTGCGCTACATGTAACAACAAACTCTACATGCGTTCCCTCAACTAGTTATGTGTTCACCATCAGAATTTCACCCGACAACAGCTCCAACGACGCCCGCTACCTCCAGCAACACAGCGCACGGTGTTGACTCGTGGCCTTTCTTTGGTGGAAGAAATGAGTGGTGTCGTAGATCAGGCTTAACCACGACACACACCCCCACTGTAAGGGCCGCCGTGGCCCTCGGATATAGGCGTTTCACTGCACCCACCGGATGAAATTCACCCGCCGCCGACTCCAACGACACTCGCAACCTCTAGCGACACAGCACACATAGTTTGATGTCGATTCGTCGCCTTTGGTTGAAGGAATAAGTGGTGTCGTAGACAAGGCTTAACCATGACACCACTCTCGGGGCGGCCGGACTCCTGCGGGTGACGGTATCTCGCAGCCACCGGGCCGATGCAGCCGAGTAGCAGCTTCCGTGATAGCTGAAGATCGTGGCTTTCCGATAAACTCGGTTTTACTGTCGTTGAAACTCTGTGCGCTGAGATGCGGGTAGTGTCGTATCTAGACTAATCTTATCTACGACACCATCCCCCGGCGCGCCGTGGCCCTCGGATGTAGGCGTTCCACTCAACCCACCGCATCAAATTCACCCGCCACCGACTCCAACGACGCCCGCTACCTCTAGCAACACAGCGCAAATGGTTTGGCGTCGAGTCGTGGCCTTTGGTCGAAGAAATGAGTGGTGTCGTAGTTAAGCGCTTAACTACGACACCACTCTCGGGGCGGCCGGACCCCAGTGGGTGATCGTATCCCCGCAACCACCGGGGTGATCTAGCCAAGTAACGGCTTGCACGATAGCTGAGGATGGTGTGAACCCATTCGAGTCGGTTTTACGTTGATTCACGCTCTGTGCGCCGAGATGCGGGTGATGTCGTACTTAACCGTATCTACGACACCACCCTGCGGCTCCACCGTTAACCCGTGGGTAGGCATATCTCGGCTGACACAGGTCCGATTGAGGTCATCGACGGCTCTAACGATAGCTGCGGGTCGTGGCAAGGTAGCGTGAGTAGTTCTGGGCTGCTGTGCGCTCGTTGGGTCGACGTAGACCACGTTTGGAGGTTTATACCGAGCTCACGATACTGGTGTGCCCCTTCCTGAGTCTGTAACTCCAGAACCACCGAGCGAGTCAAATGAGATCTCAAAGTACTTGAGCGATCGCTGCGGGCCGTGGCTACCTAACGAAGTCAGTTTTACGACGATTGAAGCCCTGTGGGTTGAGATATGGCCTGATACCTGAGGGGACCCTCCCTGTGATGCTGCGGAACCCCCATTTCCGACGATATCTCCACAACCACGTAGCGGATTGAGCTTAACAAGAGCTTGAGTGATAGCTACGGGCGATGGTATTCTAACGAAACTACTTGGACGTTTTTTAGAGCCCTGCTGGCTGAGATATGATCGAATACGTGAGGGGACCCTGCCTATGATGCTGTGGAACCCCCGTTCCAGGAATATCTCCGCATCCACGTAGCCGATTGGGTTGAAACATAGCTTGTGTGATCGCCTAGGACCGTGGCGTTGCAACGAATGAATCTAATTTGATCCTCATTGAAAGCCTGTGGGCTGAGAAATGGCAGCCTACTTCTAGGGACCCAGGCCCTGATGCTACGGAACCCCGTTTCTCGATGATATATTCCCAACCGCGTGGCCCCTGGAGTTGAAACAAAGCTTGCGTGATCGCTAAGAGCCGTGGCGTTCCAACAATCCTGTCTGACGTCTGACGCCGTTTAGAGCCCTCTGAGCTGAGGTCCGGATGGTATCGTAGTGAAGGATTCACGACACAGGTGTCGTGTTTAGCATTACCGAATCACAAACGGAAACTGGCCCCGCGACCCACTTTTAAGATCCATCCGCCTTGTCATATCCGGGCTCGCAACATGCTACACAGGGTAACATCGGGTGAATCCATCCGTGGAAAAAGTTGCGGAGCTCCATATATGTGGCAGAGTGCACCAGACGAGGGAAAACGACGAGTAAGCAAATCCCTGCCATATTAATGAGAGGGAGAGGGAGAGAGGGAGAAGTTCTCGCAGCCACGGAAAGGAAGATTCGAGCCCAAATAAATCTAGGTGTCAAAAATGCTGCCCTACAGCCGTCCGTCCTCCTGCCCTATACCTCCTTACTTACCGCAAGGGCACTTACCCCTCACGGGTAGTAAATGTTATATCCCGTGTATTCTCTCCGTCGTCCTGTGGTTATCTAGCCCATCCGTTTCCCCCCATTGTTTCATATAATTTAAACAGGAAAATCCACAGAAAGACTATACCCGTTCGATCGAGAGCACGTACGTACATGTAACCATCACTTGTTCCCGAGGCGGCAATGGCTAGATACCGGTTGGAAACCTTTACCTTACGCCTTCGTGCGCCCCTGCATCATTCGACGGTTCACCAGATCGGGCCTGCGATGGTACACCCATTCATTACTGAATGCGACGAGCTGGCGGTGGAGGCCGTCGACGAGGTTGTTGTGTCTGTCTGGCCGTCAGGCTTCTCCCACGGCTCTGCCGATGGACAGAGGATGGCGTCCATCACTTTTTTTCGGCTTCGAGCAGGTGTGCCTTGAGCCCACACCATAATAGTAGTTAGACTAGTTGTTGCTCATTGAATTTTTCATGGAATTCTATGGAACATTTCACGGAATTCCACGGAATTCCATGGAACGTATTGTGGAAATTGTCATGGACTTCTGTGGAAATTTCACGGAGCTCCATGGACTTGCATGAAACTTTTCATGGAACTCCTTGGACTTTCATCAAACTTTTCATGGCATTTGATGGAAGTCCACGGGTTCCCATAAAAAGTTCCATGGAGCTCCATGGACTTCCATGAAATATTCCCATGAAATGCATCATGGAAGCCATAAATTCCATGGAAAGTTTCATGGAAGTCCAAGGAGTTCCATGAAAAGTTTCATGGAAGTCCATGGAGCTCCGTGGAAACAAGGGGCCTTCCGGGGTATGCCGAAGTGAGGTTGAGGATGGAGTGATTGCCAAACAGCCTAAGCTCTGAAAAGTCAACTGTGGGTTGCTCTGGGTGTGTACATGCGATATCCGGTCTCAGATTTTTTATCCGGGGTCGGGAAGGTGGGTTTTCAGCGAAATTTGGCGATTTATCTTTCTCAATGTATAGGAAAAAGCGATACAGGGGACACGAAAATTCCGTCCCCCCCCGGGGACAAAACGGGGATTTTCCTATAATNAGGTGGGTTTTCAGCGAAATTTGGCGATTTATCTTTCTCAATGTATAGGAAAAAGCGAAGCCGGGGACACGAAATTTCCGCCCCCCCCGGGGACAAAACGGGGATTTGCCCATATCTTGCCCAATTTGAGTGCTTTATTGACCACTGTTCTGGAAACAAAATCCCTACAGCTTGTTCCGAATGTATAGGAAAAAGCGATACAGGGGACACGAAAATTCCGTCCCCCCCCGGGGACAAAACGGGGATTTTCCTATAATTTGGTCAATTTGAGTGCTTTTTGGACCGCTATTCAGCTACAAAAAGCCCTGCAGCTTGTGCCAAACACACGGGGAAAAACGAGACAGGGGACACGAAAATTCCGTCCCCCCCCGGGGACAAACCGGGATTTGCCCACACATTGATCGATTTAAGTGCTTCTTCTCTTCACGGTTGGCAGTCAACACATGATCACTAGCCCAACTCCGAGAACCTCCTCTTCGCAATGCGTACGCGCCCTCTTGAGCTTACGTATCTCTCTTCCTCCCTCTCCTCTTTCTCCTCCTCCTCCCCGTCCTCCCCCTCCTCCCCGTCCTCCTCCTCATCCTCTTCCTCCTCCGTCTCCTCCTCCATCTCCTCCTCCCCATCTTTCTGCTCCCCCATACTCTCGTCAAGCGTCGGACAAGGCATGGGGTTGGGAGTAGGCGCCACAGGAGACTCGTCCGAAGATATCACCGGAACAATACCGCCGGTCAATTGAGTTCCAAACGTGCGTCTCCCAACCTTCTCCTTTGCCGACTTCTCCATCACCTTGCCAACTAAGTCGGGGTACACCTTCGCTACCATGCAGTCATCGTAGCAGCCTACTCGGCAAGTCGAGCAGTAGCACGATGCGCCCCGAACCCGCAACNGCGAGCGCTGTCGTGTACGCGGTCCACCCTATCGAGCTGTTGCTGTGCCGCTTCAGCGCTTGGAGCGAGGCACGGAGCGCGCGAGTGTTCGCCGCGTTGACCGCCGCCTCCTTAGCTGCTGCCTGGTCTGCAGCGCTCGCCCCCAGCATGGCCCGTACTCGCTCCATCAACACGTGGTCCTTCTGGATCAACTCCAGCGCGCTAGAGCGACGCTCCTCCGAAGCCTGCGTACATGTATCAGGAGTTGTTGGAGTCGGGGGAGGGTGTGTGTTATGTTCAGCAGGAGTATGGGTGGGCCAACAACAAATGCCACACGTAGAAGCCTGCAGTTAGTACAACAGTGATCCCATGCAACTTTTCATGCGCTTTCTCCGCTAACATCACGAAGTCCNCGTAGAAGCCTGCAATTAGTACAACAGTGATCCCATGCAACTTTTCATGCGCTTTCTACGCTAACATCACGAAGTCGTGGAATGGAGATCAATCTCGGGAGCACGAGCAACAGAGGGCCGTGCGTACCAAAATTCAAATACTGTTTAAATTTAGAGCGGCACGAATTGGCGCCAAGAAGTACAATACTGTAGTCCAAGCATTTCAACAGCACTTCAGCAACCCAAAACCTCACCTGTTCCTCGCGCGAAGCCTCTGGGGTAGCCCCGCTTCTCGTCCCGCCATCGTGAGCCAATGCTAGAGGGTCGGAGAGAGCTACGTCCGCCCCCTTGCGCTTCCCCTTCCCCGAAGCAGCAGCAGCAGCAGCAGCGGCAGCCTGTTGGTTGCCGCGCTTTGATGCTCGTTCTTGGATGGCTTCAGCATGCTCTCTACCCTTTTCGCGGAGCTGATCTTCATCAGCAACTACAGAGGACAACTTACTGCCAGCTGCCTTCGTGGTACCCTTCTTTAACAGCCAGGAGGTTAGCAGTATCCCGCGGTTGTGCTTCTTCCGGTGCTGCCTTACTACCCTCTTTTCCCCGCGGACGTGCATTATGCGGTCTACAAGGATGAGACTGCAACGAGCCACGGCCAGGCCCGAGTCGGCACGGCCGTAGATGTTGGAGTTTAGGGCTGAGGACCTCGAGAGTGGTGTCCTTTGTATGTAATTCGACCAAGCGGAGTCGATTGCCGTGGAGAACAAGGCATGAGTCGTCGATGTTCATGGTGAAACAGGATGCGCCGCATCGCATATCTTGAAATATGTGTCGAGAATTTTTTTATTTTTTGTTTTTTTGTTCTTTCGGTTTGTCTCGCCGAAACGGTTCTACAACCGGGTTCAGCATTCTCCCCCATTCGCCGGAAGACCCCAAAGGCGAAAATTTCAATGGAAGTTCGTGAAAACGCACATTTCATGGACATCGATGTCCAGTACAGCCAAGGCTTAATGTCGGCATTGTTCCACCAAAGTGGGGACACTGAAGCATATATCGAACGTCCGTAGAAAGGTTTCGTAAACCTCCCATGATGAAATATGTCATGATATCCACGGACTTCCACGGGCAGGGAGGATGGTGTCATGGAGTGCCATGGACTCCCATGAAACTTTTTATTGTTTTCATGGAGTTAAGAAGCGTTACATGGAAGCCCGTGCAAGTCCATGGAACTTATAACACAAGCTCGGTTGGAAGCAACAAATAGGATTCAATCCTCGAGCTATATTGTTTTCAAGTCGAGCGTTCTGTAGAACCACCGGGAGAGGGAGGTAGACGGGTGGCGCCCACCTCTGCAGGCTGATATACAAGGTCAGGGGGTGACTCCATCAGATATGGGCAAATTTGAGCATCGCAGCCGTGGTCGTGCGTACGTGGTGCGGGGACATGGTGTTCCGCATGTGCTGGTTCAAAACACCAAACAATTCACTGTTCGATGTTCATACTGTGATTTTGCACGACGAAACCGTGCCTTCATACGGATTTTGTCACGGTTTTTAAGTAACTTTTGTTCACTACGGAGTGGGAAAAACCGTCCCGTGATAAAACCGCGACCACGGTTAACTATGAACCCATACGGCGCGGTTCGACGTACCGCACCGTCGCGAAAAAGCACACCGTGAACAAACACGACCTACCAACACGCACGGGTGCAGGGCCACCTTTAGTGTTCGCAAAGGTCGAGCTAAAATTAACAATGAACGTGTTCGAGTCTGCACGGACTTGCAACACCATTTCGCACATAAAGGAGGGTGCGCGACTGGGGTGTAGAATAAGCAACAGCACTAGATTGCTGCGGAGACAACCGTCCACTTGCGTATCTCTCTCAAGAGACCCAATCCCCTAGGGACCCCGAGTATGACTTTCGCAGCTATAGCGGTCTCTCAATCGCCCCCCCTCAGCCTGTGAGCTTCGTTGTGGATAGCAGAATCGACGCACCCGGGTGGAAACATGAACAACTTTCTTACGACCACATCACGCACACAAAGAACGAGATAAAAATGGTACCAAGAAAACAGGACCCAATCAACGTGCACCACACGATCATCAACACAACACACGGAACTCCATTATGACTCTACATCTGCACAATCGCCGACCACGAAAGCGTTTACTCCTGCCCGCCTACCCCACCAAACTCGGCGGGCTGCCGCAAATCGAACATCCCCGTGCCGAAACTCCCAACCCTGCCCATCACTATTCTCGCCGACGGGGACTTCAACCGGTCGCTGGAGCGTGCCACGGCAGCCTTGGCCATGAAGTCGGTGGTCGTCTCGAAGCTCATCTGCAAGGGATGAGCAGGGGCGAGACAACGATCAACCAATCATCAAATACATCGAGCGGGACTTTTGCCGCTCTGCGCAGAGGGAGGGGTAAGAGACGGAAACGTATACTGAGGCATCAGAGAGGAGGTGACATGGGCCGTACTCGAGGAAAAACTCTATAACACAACCATGACAAGAGGCAAAAAAAAAAACTTCAAAGGGACCGACCGGCTACAGATAAAAACAAACCAGACAAATATTACCTGAAGGCAGGGGGACGAGAAGTCGGCCATCCCGGCGCGATTCAAGGGCCGGTATCCGCCGTCGAACGTCATGTGGTCGGCAACCAGCCCCAGGTGTCTCGGGTCCACGGCGATGCCGTACGCGCCGAAGACTCCTGTGATTTCTGATACGATCGACGCCCGCGCCGCCTCCACACCGTACGTTTGGCACACCGCCCAGATATCATTCGAAGTTAACTGCTCAAGAAGAGCGGGAACATGGCAACATCGTCGTGCGGGTGGTGTCTCATTGGGGTCACTGCAGGGCACGTGGTGTGCTTTTTGCATGGGTTTGACACGGTGAGAGGCGGAGCGACGAAACCCCCATCAGACCGACGTTGTCCGAAAACCTGTTGAGCCGGAAGATACCGACCAAAAAAGAAGTCCTCGACAGGATGTTTAAAATACCCTCATAGCTAGGTGATGACATAAGCTTGGTATTGGAGCATCTCTTACGGCATGTACATGACAGTGCGACTACCAGACACTCCGCATTCGCTTTTCCCCCTTATGTGGGCACCACATGTCAGTATATAAGGCTTGGGGCAAGACCCTCTTTTACAGTGGCGTCAGCGGCAGAATGTCATCCTTGCAATGTCAAAGTCCTGGGTTCGAATCCGGGCACGTGAAAATTGGTTTCTTGTCCGCCGCCAGCCGGTCGGGTTCCGGTTACCGTACATACTACGGGGGGTGCGTCGTGGTACCCGCGTATTTGTCTACGACGCTGAGGTGTCCGCTCGCTCGTATCCGGGGGAGTATGTGGGCACCACGTGTCAGTATATAATATCTCGTGTCGGGCAAACACCCTTTTTACACTTCAGTGCATATCGTAGGTCAGCAGTCCCGAGAGCAATGCAAAAATACGGAGGCTACTTTTGAAGAGTAGCGTACCACCAAACCAGAACCAGTCAAACGTGCAGCCACATGTCGTTCTGGCTGCTGAAACCCCCGCGCTCTTACTGGCTGACCTTGTCAAGGTTGAGGATGCCGTCGACTCCGCCTTCTTTCAGCTGCCACACCGTCTCGAAGTCGCTACCTTCGAGCTGAACGGCCAGGCCGCTCTTCCCCTCGACGGTCATGTCCACCACGAACGCTCCCCTGATGCCTTTGTGGGACCGGACCATGGTCTTCGCTGCGGCGCTCTCGGCTAGCCCGACCATCAGCAGCCGGCGCATGCTGAGGGCGACCAAATGTGTGAGGAACTCAAGGTAGGTCGTCGGCACATGCACCAGGGGACGCATTCCAAATCAGTCAATGCAGACAACAGAATTTCACCGACACAATACGAGTTCCAAATGTACAGCAAAAACGAGAGCAGCTTGGCGTGGCCCAAAGTGAATGTCGGCGCACGCATCAAAAGGGCCAGCAGGCGCAACTAGTAAATCTACCGCAATACGACTCTACCAATGGATTGAGTCCAGCATCCCAGGCAATGTGGGAGCAGCCGCAGAACCAACCAAGCCATAAAAACAGACCAAATGGCAGGCGGGGAAGCATCTCTGCACCACGAAAGCCCAGTCCCCACGAACAAGCATCCATACCTATGAAGACGATAAGAGACAGTCTTACGACCCCTACACATGGCAACTAAAGACAACAGTCCTCACACCCGCGGACTCTGGTTGAAGGAAGTACGGGTTATTCATTGGACAAAAGACGGCATGACCTTTGCTAACCTATCCCGGACTCCTTCTTTGTGAACAGAACGATATGTTCCGCCATCGTGGAAAAACAACGGGAAAAATAGTCCACCTTACTGTCAGGAGATACCTCGCCTGTATGGGGATGGTCAGTCCATCCACTCCTCACCTCGACGGGAGCCTAACCGTCACCTCCACCTCCCCGGTCTTCTTGTTTTTCGTGATGCCCTTCAAGTGGCGAGCGCCAGAAATGTTCGGAAGGTTGAAGTAGTCCCTGTCATCGTTCTTATCATTGCCGACACCATCAGCACCTCCCATCCCTTCGTCGTCATTACCGTCGTCGTCGCCGTCTTCTTCACCAAGAACACCACCATTAGCCTCCTTGCCGCTCATAGCCTACAAGCGAACCGACAAAAAAAAAGGACGGACGTCACGAATGGGGGGAGAAAACCGTTGCGCAATCACGTTTCACTTGCCGTTAGCCACCATGCTCAACCTGCGCCGCCCTATTGCCGACATGAGAAAACTCCACCAAATCTTTTGATAGACTAGCCACAACGCCGCATAATCATTCTTTCATGCTATCTCCCTGTCCCTCTCGGCAATACAGTGAAATACAAGTAATCTGCACATCGCGATGGCAAACACAACACCGGGACGGTTTTCTCGAAAACCACGCATCCTCGCTGATAAAGGGAATGAAAAACAGATAAACTACTCATTCTCGACAGGTGTATGTTCCGCCGCTTTCCAGGCCGCCTTCCCATGGGGCCCCGCCGCCGCTGCAAAACGGCGGCAGTGCCATCGGGGGCCAGCCTAATAAACGACGGGTTTGCTCTTGCTGTGCGAATGATAGGAAGGGGCCACGTGGGAGAGAGAAGCGTGTCCTCTTCTCCCGACCACCACCTGAGAATTTTTTCAGCATCTTTCGTTCATTGGTGCACACCAATACATTCACGCCACACGGGATTACAGCGAGCTCAATGTCACGTCTCTCACCCAAGGGCCCTTGAGCCCTGCTAATCAGGACCAACAATTCAGCATCGAGGTGGACAGGACCCTGAATGTGCCCGCTGCCAAGAAGGGGTGGGCGCGGTTTCAACACCGCTATATCCCTCTTCTCTGTGGGCAACGGCCACTTTTGTCCACAGCGGTCACACATTGTATCATTACCTTCCAGATAGCCTTCTCTTCCTCGTCCATGCCACCGTAAGAAGACTGCTCCTTCTGCTTGCCGAACTTTAGGGTGCCCTGCTCCTCGTCCTCGTCCTGGACAAACACAGAGAGGGAATCCCAAAGAGTTGCATCGAATGACGGCACGAAATACGGCAACTCACTGATAGTAGAAATATGAGTAATGGAAGCTTCTTGCCATTTCGTCGCAGCAATGAACAATGCACCACTGAACGTGCCTAATGTCACCGCACGGTGGACGCTTGACATCTACGCCACGCGGTGAAGAGCTATTCAAGCATCTACCAAGCAACCAAGAACTAAACTAAAAAGGAGATTAATCCCTGATTCTTTCAACTGCACGCATGAAAAAAAAAGGTACATTACTTACCAGAAAACAAAAACATGACGGAAAACGCAGACGGAAGCGCCAACCTTTCCGATCCCATCCTTGATTCAGCATGTAACACTGAGACGAGCGAACTCACGTCACTCTCGTACTCGGCCTCAGCCTTGCTGGCCTTCTTCGCACCAGCATTGCTCTGTGGGATGGCGGAGATCTGCCCCTCCAAGTCGTCCTCCTCGTCACCAGCACGCTCACCCCTTCGACAGCATGACGGAACCACACGCATTCGTGAACAAATCCAGAACACTTTAACAGTTCGCATCAGCAGCTCCAAGCAAAGGAGCATCCGCTCGGTAGGCATGTTGTCGGTGAATCTGCAGGCACTACCGAAACAGCGGTGCGAGCCGTGACGAAAGCGTTCTTCGGAGCCTTCCAGAACACCATACAACGACAACTCGGTAAAACATGAACGTGAATACCGCTCATCGCCGCAAGATACGAGGTTTCGACACCGCCATGAAACGTTAAACTGTATGGGGCAAGGGCAGTTTGGGTGGCTAAGAACCTCACAATATCCGACGAGTCAAACACAACATCAATGTTGGTCGAGTGGGATAACGAAGACCGCCACCGTCCTGTGTCCCCAAACACGACAGAGGCCCCAGGGCCGCGGTCCTCCAGCATCTCGACCGAAAAATTAATGTGCCTCTTGGAACGAAGGGATCTGTCATGAGGCCACGGAACTTTTGCATACAAAGTTATGACCCGCGGCCATGGCAGGCCCTCAGATTTTGAGGTTGGGCTGTTGGGCGTGTTGACCTCAACCACGCTAACCGACAGACGTTAAAATTCGTCAGTTTCGTAAGAGCTCCACAACAAGATAAATTTCACGAAAGAAGTCATCAGGACCCCTGTTGGTGAGTGTCGTGCTGTCCCATCTACTTTACATCACACAAATCTTGGCGTGGAGCTGACGCAAAAATCGTTACTGTCATCAACCAGACTGCGACTTTTGTTTTTCACCAAACAAGACCGCGGAACAAACCTTTTAATAGGCAGTAGCGAACACGCACATCATCCAAACAGGATGCATGACTTATTCCTCAGCCATCAACGTCGCAAAGAAGAGCGAAAATACACACTGTTGGAGCGGGAGGTTGCAGCACACTTTTGCGGCACACACCGCACACGGTAATCACACCCAACACAGCAAAGTAGGTCTATATTCATGTTGCCATGCCTACCCGCGAGCCCCGATGCGCACCTTCCTCTTGGCGGCAACCCAACGCTGGCGCCCCCAGTCTGGGACAGCTTATTGCCTGTTCTCCGCAGGTCGTTGGCTATCGCCGAGAGAAGGTTCGGGACAAACACGCCGCTGATCTTGCGACACAACTTCAGTGCGGCAAAAACGACAGAAAAAGCGAGACATGAGCCAAAATGTCAGAACGAACCTTACCGGCCATCATAACTGACTTCGAGAAAGGAACTGCTACATCATCGAACGAGGGCTGCACACAAAGGCGAAATGTGAGGTGATGGGCAACACGCGAGGCAATCGGAACACAACGCTCAAACCCTGTCCAAAAATAATCGACACCACTTGAACCAATCACGGTTCACATCGAAGCTACCGAAATGTAGTCATGGGCTTCTGCAAAATACCGACCTCTTTGAAGCTGATGTCGAAGGCCATGCTGATGATGGATGGCCGGAAAAGCCTGAGGCATACGACGTAGTGCCTTTCCCATAAGCCCTGCCGAAACGTGAATCACAGCGCGAAGCACCAGCAATACGAGACGATACCGTTGCCATGTTCAGTCGTTGTTTCGGGCCTCGAGACCATTCAAAAAGAAACATTATCTGTGCCACAAGGAATGTAAATGCAGCGAGGACGCCCGGTACTCGACGTAGCAACAACACTTATTCGGCAAGGGCATCAGGACAAACGCACAGCAACAATGCGTTCTTGCGTAAGGACGCGAGGGACACCGCACGAGCCGAAAAAAGAACTAATAACACGCACCGTATTTTCCTTCACCAGCCGTTCACGCACGACGATCCCGCCTCGATTGTCCAGCAGCTGGGACAAAGGCAAGCGTGAGAGACGGCGAGCGAGAGACCTCGCCGTCGATCGGTCGGCACCCTCGCGCAGCGGCACCACCATGGAAGGCGTCTGGGCGTATGCACATGTCAAGGCAAGGGAGTGAAAGGGCGGGGGCGGGGGGTTGATTGTTCGAACGCTCCCGCGACGTCCGCAGAAGTAATAACTCAATAGGGTTGGAGACCACAGCAAAACTCGGACTAATATTCAAGGACAGACCATAGCAGGTTGAGGTCGAGGTCCAAAGCACCGCGAGCAAGCAGGTAGGATTCTCGGTGGACACGCGCACGACACGAAATGGGGGATTTCGCTCCCCGTACCTGGTTCCATCACGGAGTAAAACTGCACATGGGAATGAGCGCACCGTAAAGCGACACACCTTTCTTTCCGGAGACCCGAAGAACACGACCAGAATGTGGCTATCGATGCCAACACCAGGCCAAGCCACACCCCAACCCCAGCCAAAGGAGCACGATCGATTCTTCATACAAGTCCACCTAAAAAAAAGGGACCTTCCTACCAAGACCTCCCACATACCTTCAGATTCTTTGCCGCCGTCATGATGATCTCCCTCAACCTCGGGATTCCCAGCGTCACGTTCGCCCCGCCGTGCCCCGCAAGGTGGAACGTGTTGAGGGTCATCTGCGTCGACGGCTCGCCGACCGACTGCGCTGCGATGGAACCAACCGTCTCCCCCGGATTTGCCAAACACCGCATGTACTTGACCCACATGAGCAGCTCGAACGCCTCCTTGAGCGAACGGACGCCGGGGGAAGACAACCTCCCCGTTGCAGCCCCGGCCTTGGAGCTATCATTGGTGTGGTCGCCGCGAAGCGATGCCGGGTTGCTGTCAAGAAAGGCTTGCAAGGACTTCTGGAATGCTTCGCTAACGCACCTGTTGCAGGCGGTGCCAAGAAGAACGTGCTCAGTACCGGGTAACACACGGAGGGGGAGCAGTTCTACTCACGGCCGACGAAACGACAATCAAGCAAGGTTGTGGGCATCGGAAAGCTGTCGTGACAGATCTGAAAGACAAGCATGAAACAACATCACATCGTCCCAAAAGCCACATGGATTCCGGAATATGTGATAGCTGTCGGAATGACGCCACGACCAACGCGACCATCCACCACTGCGGCAACGGTAAGGTCATCGCCCGAGATGAATAGAATCCATTTCATTCCGCGATGGGTACATCTACATTTTCCGTTGCTTTCGAACAAGGGTCCGTCTCGTGGACCACGTCACGGGCCTGGTTGTCGATGGTTCGTAGCTCAACTCACAGCATGGTGTGTAGGTGGAAGCCAGCGCATCTGTGGCGTACGATAGCAACCAATGTTTGATGAGACCGAGGCCACCGAGGCAACCCAGCCCAAGTTACTTATTTCTGGCTGCGCGCCTATGCCTGAAGGCTGTAGATTCCAGGATGAAGATAAACCCTCAGAAACACAGGTGTCTCTTTTGAATATCCACACGTTTATCAGAAATTCGGTGTGTTTGTTGAAGAGTCATCGTCACCGGGTCATGATCGCAACAAGTCAGGGCTTTCTACAATCAAAACTACGCCATACCGATTTTGGTAGCGTCTATCTCCCCCAGTCAAACAATCTATGCACGAATGCCTATACAATCGTGTGCTCACCCCAAGTCTTTGTTGACATTGAGTGTCGATAACACGGGATCGGGCAGGCCCGCGCCCGGGCACTTCCGAAGCAAACGCCTCGGCCTTTTTCTTCGTCTCGATGACGGATGACCGTTCTCGCCATTTTCGTTCGGGGAGGAATCCGAGGAATTTTCCGAAGAACCTTCTTGAGGGGCAGACAAGGGCATCCTTTTGGCCATGGCTCCGTCGTCTTTGTACCTGCTAGCAGGAAAGAGGCACGCGATATGAAAGCCACGTTGCAACGTAGCCTGGTAAACGAATAACGAGATGCAATATTTTTGCGTGACGAAGAGCCCACAAAAGCGCACGCCAACCGCGCTGTGCACTCCAAGGTCGCGGCACAAGCATGACACCCTCCCGTAAGCGTACGTCATCAACGTTGGATGGCGACAGGAAAAGTTCCGGATGTTGGGACAATCGGCAGAAACCACGAGCATCACGAGACTTTGAAGCTAACGGCCAACGACATCACGCGCCGGCAACGTTCCGCGTGAGTTCACGGCCAGGGACGGCGACGCGGTGGGGTTGACCGGTGTCGCCCCGGTGGTCAATCGGGTTCACAGGGGCAGGAGAACGTACTCGAAGTCGATGGTGAAAACACGCCGCAGGCCTTCACGCGCCGGCAATTTGCCCACCTCCCTGAGCGTAAACTTCTTGGCGGTTACCGCGGTGCAAGTTATTGGCAATTACCGCGGTGCTCATTCAGGACACCATCAAAATCAGCAGGCCCGTGCTGCGCTCTCCGGTAGCAAGTTTGCAACACCACCCGTCATGCCCGGGCGTTGAATGATGGACTAACATAAAACATGACAAGACAACCAGAAACGCGGGGGCAGCAGGGGTACTGGAATCGACTTGGCAGACACCGAGACGGAAGGGAGCGGGAAACAACAGGCCAACCACGACGACAGAAAGACCGCCATGCGGGTGCTGACGCCCCAACAGCCTCAACCAAGCACTCCTTGTCTACCTGTTTTTCTGTCGTGTGTGAGAATTCATTGCGAAACATTTGCCACAACCCCAATCCCATGTATCACATCTTACTAAATAAACCACTCGTGACCCTTCCGAATCAAGAGAGCAGGCACGCTCACCTGACGCTGTAGAGTGCAGCCGGAGTGCCAGCTTTCCTGACCTTCATCACCTCCGCGGAGTGCCAGCCCGCCAGCAGCTCGGCCTTGCCCCACCCCTCACCACCGTTCAACACCGTCCGCCTCTTCGCTAGAACCGTCTCTCCGGCCACAAACTTCGCCCGGCTGGCGCCTGCCGCCCCAGAGGCGTCGTCGCTTCGCTGTTGAGCGGTAGCGATCTCAGAGTGGGCCCTTGAGGCATTGCGACAGTCAAACCCGGCGTCATTTTTGAAGCTCGGCGTGATGCCGTGCTTGTGCCGAAGGGCCTGGTAGTTCTGAGCTAGAAAACCGAGCTGCTTCGACGAGAGATACCTGTCGAGCCAATATGGCGAGTGAGTGGGACGGCGCAGGTTTCGTTGCGGTCGTCGCTCCCCGTTCTGCCACCAAGGGGGCTTGCCAAAGTTGAACACGTCTTCGACTGATTTGGTACGCTGCCGACTTCCAATCAGAACCTCACGCGTCGCGGAGGTGAGGTGTGCGACACTCCATGGATATCTATTGTTCCGCATGCTTCTCGCCTTGTCGATAACCAACGGAAATAATAATCACTCTTCGAATTAGCACGTCACAAGAACATCAAATGACTATGGACCCTGTTTTCCCACACCGACACGACTGCAACCCTTGGAGCGACGTCCAGTACGGCGGCCGCCACAAGCAGTTGCGACACCAGGAACAGGGCAGGGGGGTGTTGTTAAGGGGTGGTGGTGAAGGGGATAGGGGCACGTGAGGAAGCTACGTGCCTGCAAGGGTCTGCGCTTCGCGCGAATGGTCTTCGTGATGGCCGGGGAACTGCGGAAAACCGGTCACTAGGCTAATGCCCCCGATTCCTCCCTAGCACGACCGTCAACATGGTTGCGGCGGAAGTGCGACCGAAAACAAATGTCGGCTGGCGGTCTTGGAGGTCTGTTTCGTTGGGAGGGCGTGGAAAGTCGGTGTGCCTCCCGGCGAAGACAGACCACCGAGGGCAGCGGCCGACATGTTGTTTAAAGGCTGAATCTTCCGCGCAAGCATCCGGCCGGATGTGAAACGGAAAATATGACGGCTTTCGCGTGTATCCAATGGAGAACCGGTTTCACAAAGAACCCCACCCATCATAAATACCCTTCATGGGTCGGAAGCTTCAGGAACAGACACCTGCAGCATGTATGCCGCCGGGATCCACCAACCAATGCTATCCAGTTTCTCACAAGTCTTCCGCATCACCTACGCTTCCTCCTCGCTCAAACTGTCTCGTCAACTTTTCTGGACAGTATTTTGAACCTTGCGCACCAGCAACCAACGCCCAAATTCGACGGGCGCAATCATGATAAATCTGGTCAGATGTCTAGGAGCGTGTTTCCAAAACACGACGACAATCGTTGTCTTTGACATGGCTAAAGTGAAGCTAACTTAACGTGGTCTGGGTGGCGTCGTCTTTATCCTTTCCTAGTATTTTTATTTATGAACCCACACAGGAGCTCATGGGTGGCCAAGCACACGTCTGTTTTGTTCCGCGGCCCACAGCCCAAAAATTTCATGAAAATCGAATATATCGCCCTCTTGTCGCTTTGTCGATGACAAGTGGCGGGTCCTACAATGTCATGTCCCGCTCCAAAACTCTTCAACTTCGGCGACCACAAAATCAATGACCTCAACTCACAAACGCTTTTAACACTACCGCTCAAGAGCATGGGGAGGACTTGCGGACCTGGAAATCATCGGTTGGAGCAAAATCTTCTTGCCTGCATTACGCTCCTGACGCCTTCAACGAGCGACGTTCGGGAAAACAGTTCGTGTGCGAATAAACCCGAACGCCGATATGTGCCCCACTGCACGTCGCTAATTCCTCCGTCGCAAACCAAGGCCATGATCGCGAGAAAGACACCCCTGAAAACAAATATCGGCTGCTGTCCTAGAAGGACGGTTTTCAGGGACGGCCGCCGACATTTGTTTCCGGGAGCATCTCCCTCGCAAGCCAGATAAGCGGGGAAAGAATCACAACCGAGAGTCGGCAACAAATGGCATTCGTGTGCATTTGCCGCAAAAATGGGTTTTGCCAAGGTCCTCGGCCATCATGAAGATCCTTCGCCCGTCCAATGCTTCAGAAGCAGGAGGAAAAACGACGCGAATTCGCTGGTGTGCGGACCCGCCAGCCGACGCTTTTCAGTTTTTGGAGCCTTGCCCGTCTTCTCCACCACTACCAACCTCGCCGTGCGCAGGGTGTCGCGTCGCCATTCCTCGGAGAGTACTCTACGGCACACATCCCCCCAACGACGTCTCCAATTCGCTAGCGGCAATTGTCACCGACCCAATCAACGAACGTGAGAAGGTTCTATAAGAGTCTACGATAGTTGCTGTACACGTACAACAAAAGCTAGCGCTTGAAAGCTTACTTGGTCTGTGTGGTGTCGATCCCATCCTCTCCATAGAGGAATTGGTGGACACACCCCTCTCCGTCCCGGACCGTATTGTCGTAGCCAACCTGTGGAGTGACGGGTCGTCCGCATCAGAGACAGGAAAGAAATCAGGCGGCAAGACCAACGCGAAGCGGTCCGTCCAAAACCCGAGCGGCCGAGACATACCATTAGCAAACGCACACCACAACAATATCGGTCGAACGAACGATACGGCATTGTCCACCAAATGCTTTGGGGAGGCGGGTTTCACTCCCCGGCGAACAGCACGAGCATCGGTTGATACCGTTCTCAAGCCGCTCTGGTAGGCAAGATCAGTATGGCTGGAACCCCCAAGGACATAACGTCATGGTCGTAAGCCAAAAAATGGTACCGGTAACCCCAAAAGATCTCTGAGATGCACTTGGAGCACTCAAATAAAAAAGTTGCATGTGCGACGCGCAAAAACGTACCAATGGTCCGCAAAAGGCCCTCAGAAACACAGGTGTCTCTTGAAACTTCCACAGCTGAGATCAGAAATTCAGTGGGTTTTGAAAAGAGTCCTCTTCACGGGGCCTTTGCTTCCGTCAAGTTAACATTTTGGGCACAGGCACACTATACTCATACTCTAGCAGACTATAATTAACCTTGTCTTGCAACATCCTGGAAAGCATTCGCTTGGGCCACCATTACTTAGTCCTGGAAGTGCTAGAATCGCACCTTTAGTTCTTCCAGGTGCTTGACCAGGCAGCGCTGTAGGTATCCCGACCTGGAGGTCTTTACCGCTGTGTCGACCAATCCTTCGCGTCCGGCCATGCAGTGGAAGTAATATTCCTAAGCAATCGACACAATGCCACGAGAAAAGGGTTACTTGAGAATATCAGAGTGATGAGCGAGGAAACAATCTTGTCATCGAACCAAAAAAAAGTCGCAGCAAAAATTAAGGGGTGCAACCAAAAAGCATACCTTGAATGACCGCGATCTGAGGACACAATTTACGTCTGCAACACCGTTTTCTACTCAGCACGCCTCACTCAGCGCATTCACAACCAGAATGTTTCCAAGGAAGCGACGGGCACCTTTTCGGTACGCCGAACATCTTTTGAAAGAATTTCTCATACATACCGGCCACACGAAAAAAAAGCTGCTATTATATTACAGAACGAAAAAGGATTCGGAGCAACAAATGTCCCGCCACTTTCCAGGCCGCCTTCCCATGAGGCCATGCCGCCGCTGCAAAACGGCGGCGGTACCATCGAGCGGCAGCCTATTATACGACGAATTCGCTCTTGCTGTGCGAATGATAGGAAGGGGCCACGTTGGAGGGAGAAGCGTGTCCTCGTCTCCGGACCACCACCTGAGAATTATTCAGCATCTGTTTGGCTTATGGGAGTGCCAACTCATCACGCAAAGGGACAGTGTATTTCGTTAACTGGGAAGGAATTCCAAGTCCGACACAACCATCAACAATAAAAAATTGTGGGAACGACAGAAGGAAACAACCATGTGCCTTTATCCTGCCCCCTGCCACGTCAAAACGTACACGGAATCCCTAAACGTGCCCAAGATGCCACTTGAAACGGGCACCGTTATCAGACATTGGCAACTGCCAACTTGCGTATGACATAACAGGTACTGAACCGCAAAAGAAACAAATCGTCCTGAAACCGTCCGAACGGAGTGTACAACATGAAATTGCATCCCGGGTCAGGTGAAGCACCGAAAAATGGAAGCAGCATCCGACAGCCGCCGTGCCACTGTCTGGCACGGTCGCACTACCAGTGTTTACCTGTGGTCTGATGCCCGTCAGAAATCGGTCCGTGATGAAGCCGTTCGCGCGGGGGCTCGGCTCGAAGGCCTGAAAGCTGGGCAGCGACTTACCCGACACCATCACGGGGACTCGCCTGCCCTCGAGAGCCTGCTGCCCAAGGGCACAGGAAACCTAGGGAAGTCGGCGGACAGACAAACCGCAGTGGCGGGCAAGCGCAGAAGGCGAAGAAGGTGCAAAACGAAAGTACAAAGGAGACGAACGGGGAGAATACAGTGGAAAATTTAAGGCGGAAGAGGTTCATGAACGGGCGAGAGGGCATAAAGAGGGCGAGGCATGGGAAGGGATCGCTTGTTTCCTGAACGCCAATCTTTGAGAACGGAAACCCTGCACGGGTGTGACTTTCACCTACGCCTCCACCAGCAAGCCTGCACTTCACGTGACCTGACGCGGGTCCTAGAATGCCAATCACACACGCTGCTGATAGCAGGCGTTAAACAACATACGAACCAAGAGAAGCGATGATATCTACCAAGCACTGCTGTTCAGGTGACACAGCAGAAAATCCCCTCACCTGAGAGTGGTTCACCATCGATCCTTTGGCTCCGGTAAGGACCATCAAGCTGAAGCAATTGTGGGGGAAGGGCTTCGCTTGTCCGCCGGGCAGGCATGCCTTGATGATGTCCGACGAAACAGGAGCAAGGGCACTCTGCATGTGTCTGTCGATCTCGGCCAAGCGGGTGTCCCTGGTGGGGGCCACATCGGACAACAACAGTTGTGTCTCGGGGACCTCGACAACCAAGATATTATACTGTCGCACACACACCGTCCGGCATGGGCTACCTAAAGGCGCAAACATGTATAGCAGCCGGGAAACCACACCAACAAACCGGTTGGTATGCACAAGGACACATCATGACATACACCTTGTCCACCAAATACGAGGTTGCGACGAGGATCACAGCACCCACGGAACGACGTCGAAACGTCCTGGTCGACACAAAGTACTTCCAACACACAAAAAAGAAAACACATATACGGCAACTACAACGTGGAGGACAGAGACACCAGACCTTCGCCGAAAGCCACGCCGACACAAACCCTTCCTTACCTGTCTTCCCCAAGCAAGAAAAAAGCGGTTTTCTGTCTGATGTCCTCCACATCCGCCTCCACGAGAGCTTTACCCGTATCCTCGTCCCCGTTAGCAATAGCTTTGGCGTTCTGTCCTTCTGCGGACGCGGTGTCAACGAGCTCTCGCATTGACCTCTGGCCTATCCCGAGTGACTGCAACAAGTTCCGATTGGCAATCAATCATGGGGAGAACTTGATCTCGCATTCCACCACACCATTTGTTGGTCCACAAGATTTCGATTGATTGTGACCCCGGTTGGGTCGTCTAGCTAGTAGAAGTGGAGGATAGGGGCCAGAGGGGCAGGCGACATAATACGATAATGGAAAGAGAAAAAAAAAATAAACAACCCCCACCGGTGTTTGCCATCGGGATTGGGTTTTCGTCGCTTGGCAACGACGTTGTGAAACAAGACCCCGCTTGGTGTTTGCCATCGGGATTGGGTTTTCGTCGCTTGGCAACGACGTTGTGAAACAAGACCCCGCTTGGTGTTTGCCATCGGGATTGGGTTTTCGTCGCTTGGCAACGACGTTGTGAAACAAGACCCCGCTTGGTGTTTGCCATCGGGATTGGGTTTTCGTCGCTTGGCAACGACGTTGTGAAACAAGACCCCGCTTGGTGTTTGCCATCGGGATTGGGTTTTAGTCGCTTGGCAATGACGTTGTGAAACAAGCCAATTCACTTAGTGAACCCGGCAACCAGGCTACCGTTTTTAGTTTTTAAAACTGTTATTTTTTGGCGGTAACCATAACGGTGGTCGAGTAGATCATGTTGTCCGGGGTGCAAAAACGCCACTCAACGCAAGGGGGATGATCGCACCACGTTGTGTTAAAATGGCCAAGCACCCTTGAGGCAGTTATACAGTGCTTACAACTGTCTCTGGAAGTGAAAGCACCAGAAAGTAAATTAAGTCATTAGCAGTCATCCGTACGCAAGGAAGTGAGCACAAGATGCCGAACACCCTTAGCAGGATGCAGCGCACCACACATGCGACTCGCCGAATATCGGAGCTTGGTGATGCGAGATCAATGGTCTAACGACACGGCATGCACAACTATGAGTACACCACCATACTCAAAAACTACCGTTGCCACGCTAATGCTCAGAGATTGTTCACCCAGTCCAGGTCATCAGGCCCGGGAATCGGGAAAAGGACGCGTTTTGCCCCCTATTCCAGTGACTCCCGCCCCTTAAAGGATATATTTATCCGTCAAGTGGGAGGCATCAGACGGTTGTGTTGGACGTGTTTCTCCATCACGGCACTCGTGCGTTAACCTAGCACCTCTAAATCATGGTTTGGAATGATGAGCTAAGTGCTGAATCAAGCCCGTCCAGTCACAGCCGGACACAAACCGTACGGAAAATCACGAACCATCCTTTCAAATCAAGCTGTTTGTATTCATTGTCCACAAGCGATCCTTCCGTTGGAAACCACCATGGTTGACGGCGGCAAACAAAGCACGACGCGAAATCTCGAAGACCGTCGGCAGAACGACTAGTTGCACGAAGGCTTGGAGCTCAACAGTAACCTGGAGATGCTAAACAGCACTTCAGGTTGCAGCGCCACCGCAGCTCGTGTCCTTCAACCGCAAGCTTTCCACTGCGGCAATGTGACTGTCCACGGCATGTCCAAACGCACGTACCTTCTTGATGATTTCTCGTCGGTTGCCCTCAGCCCCAGCCGTCAGGGTAAGGTCTTCGATACCGCACGTGTGGCCCGAAGATTGGAGGAAAATCGTCAACACCCGCCCCAAAGCCTGGTGTTCCATGGAGAACAGCCGCGACACGCAAGCAAACGGACATCGAGGGCGGAAGCAAAGTGGAACGTGGGAATTATTGCCATCTGCGGATAGGTGTGGTCACAACCATCAGACACCAAACGGCTAATGTTCAATAAGCGACGTCTTTATCGCAACTACTGGTACGTCAAGAATGCTCCAGAATAAAAGCGAAATCTCGCTAATCAGACGTCTCCATTGACGCTTGTTTCAGGCTGCGACTTACGCCGACATAAACACAGTGGTCGCTCAAGTGGTCCTATGGTAGCTTACCGTCAGGAGCTTCCCCGCTGCGGTGGACCCGTAGACCTCGTGCACCGCGTGGACAAGGCCAAACTCGCTCGAACCGAACGCCCCTTTGTCCAGAACTCCCTGTTATCCAAGAACGCAAGAAAATTTCGCCATTGATGGTTCAGCCCGTGAAGAATAGCGACATCGAAACTTCATGCTAAGAAAATGCAAACAGATAAAACTATCACACCGTGGAAAAGGTACTGGCGCAGCCGTGTGCAACCAAACCGTACAGATCAAAGCGTAACCTCTTCATGAAGCCACGGTACAAACGAGCATTCTCTTGTGTCGACATTCAACATCCACGACCGTGGGATTGCTTTTCCAAGTGCCAAAAGAGCTCCTCAGCGTCATTGTGGTCCTTACGGTACTTTGTGTTTCAACGCGGCGACAATCACGGCTAAGTACGCACCTGCAGCAGCTCCCCTTCTCTGAAAACGATAACGTGTTCCTGCTCTGCCTCTCCGAATGCGACCTTCGGTGTCCTCGACTTGCCGTCCAGATTGAGCTGTGGCAAGCCCTTCGTCAGGTGCCTGAGGATGGTGGACATCACCTGCCGTGGTCGCGAAAATGAAACACGAGAGAGCCCCAACGACAATATATGCTCAAAAATGCTCGGCGACCACAAAACATCGGCGACAAAAGACATAAAACATTCAGCCAGAAGCATGCCATGCTGAAGAACCACAGGTATCAGGCCCGGTGTCGTGTTGTCCCGGTACCAAAGCGCGGTCGCAGACGATTCTTTCTAAAATACAACCCGACATGAATGAAACGAAATGACTTCAACGTCATGGTTGTTATGGGTCGGGTCGAAATTCGACGGATGACAGGTGACAAAAAAGCTCACGAAGATTCCGAAATGTCAGCACGCCGCATCAGCTAGGCCGTGACCAAGAGCAAGCATCCACGAACTCCTGAACAAGGTCTCTACAGGAAAGGCTACAGAGGCGGCAAAACAAAATGTTAGGCTTGGTGTTTCTTCGTTAATTGTCTCCGCGGAAACGAATAGAAAAAGGCACCTGCTTGCCGGTCCACCTCTGCTGCGGCTTGAGGATCGCCGGGGGCAAAGTTGTGATGTCGTCGGAAGGGGGCACGATCTCGAGACCGGGCAACCCGGACAGAGCTTGGTACACCAACTGCTGGTACTCGCCTTTCGTAAAGAAGCAGTCCTGGTATGGACGCCAGTTTTTTTAAGGTGCAAGACAAGAAGCATAACTGAGTTGGTAATAGAGCAAACAAAGGTACGATAATAGCTTGACACGGACTGATCACAGTTATAACGCCCACGTGTCCAAAATTTTAATGTGGCGACACAGCCCAATTTCGCATTTCGTCACCAGCATGGCTTGTCGCACAAACCTTGGTTCAGCATCCACGACAGCTTCATGCTTCACGCCCTACTTCCTTCACACATATTGTGAAATATTGAGCTTCAATATTTCTGGCAGTTTTGTTCGTTGATCGTGGGCGTCAACTGTTGTACCGCTCAGATAACGAAAATCGTTTCGGCAAAATGGCGCCGATTACGCACCTTTGAACACATCTTCACGCCAGCGTCGACGTGGTCCTGGATGAGGCCACGAAGGGGCTTCCCATTGGTCGGTACCAGGTATTGCTCGTCGGTGAAGGCCAGCAGATTGGCCTCTGCCTTCGCCAACTCGTTCTGTACGCAACGCGACAAACAAAATAAAATCCAACTTTAGAACCACCGTACCGTGCTATTGTAGATTTGACGCCGGCCGCAAAGGCGTGGTCGTTTGTGGGCATTGACACAGAGTATCTGTACCTACTGAACTTCCTTTGTGATGGCGCCCAAAAAAAACAGCGTGGGATCGAATGGCAACGAGGCTTGCTCGTCTTCATCGGGAAGAAGGGACACCGATGGAACAACGTGACTTTACGACACACGAGCTAAAGAACATCCGAGCCGTCAGAATAGCAACGTTGCTTTTGTGTTATATGATCATGGCATATAAGTCAGCGTTTGTTTCGTTCAGATATCTTCATCCGACTCAGATGTCCACAAGAGCGACAGAGAAAACACGCGCACCCAAACAAATATATTTCGCCATTTCGCAAAACGAACAGATGACGTTTACTTTCTCGACAGTACACACCTCCACACTACGAGACTTGAACATCACCTTCGCGACATCGCATCCAACGACGGGGTACCAGCGTCGAGCAAGACACACGACATATGAGGGGCAATGTGCAGACCATCTGCGCATTTGATGGAAAAAAAAGAACACGTAGAGCTGTCTCCGCGCAAGCGCACCTGCGGCAGGTGGCAGTTGATCTCGTCTCCGTCAAAATCGGCGTTGTACGTGTTGCAGTTCGCGTAGTGCATTCGGATCGTCTGGTAACCCGGGTTGCGGAGAACGCGGACACGGTGTGCCATAATGCCGGGCTTATGAAGAGTCGGCTGACGGTTCACAAGCATGCAGTCCCCGTCCTTCAAATGCCTCCACACCTTTACGACACGACGGGCAAAAAATAAGGCGCGACCGGAGACAAAGTCCATTCGGAGTGGTTATCATACCGTGGATCCGGAGCCGAGCACGTGAATCAACAGCATCGGGTAAGTACCGTGTAAAGAATGTCCGGGAAGAATGTTGGTGGTTCGATGTTCGGCAGTACCGACGCTTTCACCGTCAGCTTGTGGGCCATCCACGATAGAGCATGACCAGCACTGGTATCCAGGTGAGGGTGTAGAAAACTTCAACTTAGTCAGCCGTACATCCACTCTTTTGTGAAACGGTAGACATTGTACTATTCGACGAGACGGCAAGCAAAGTCCACCACGCACCTTTTGACCCGGGATAGAGAGCAGCCTGGCCGCCACGCCTCTCCTTTTTAGGTCCGACAGTCTGTCGAGGTGAAGCATCCGACCCGAAGAGTCCTCCACGAAATTCGCCCCTGGCGGACGAAAGAACAAAAAAGTCGAGGCGAAAAGATGACCACGAAAACATTCTGCGTTACTCGACAGCGAGCAATTTGTGAATACAAACCCAATACCGTGCACCCGAACAGGCCTTAGTAAACTATATCGGTCGTGCATGAAACATCCCATAATGATAGCGTACGCGGAAATCCTGAGGGCAAATCTACACGCTTGTTTACCAACAACACAAATCATCGAACAAAAGTTCGAACCCGTAGGATCTATGCGTCGGACACACCCAACATATGTGCCACTCACACCGAACAACCAACGCGAAAACAAAACCCACCGGGATAAACACTCGTCCCGTTCTCAACCAGCTGTCGCATTGCCTCCACGTTCCAGTCTGCCACAGGCTGCGGGTACGTGAGCTCCTTGGCGAACCGGAGGGGGATGCCGATCTCGGTGGTGCCTAGGTAGGGGTCGGGGGAGATCACGGAACGGCATGCGTAGTTTACTCGCTTCCCCATCATGTGCTTGCGGAATAAGCCTTCTTTTTTCTCCAGGACCTGGAAGGAACAAAAGATTAACACGAGAGATCGCCAACACAACGCCTGGTCAGCAAGACAAGATGCGACGCCGAAATCCATCCCAGGTCGTCCAAGCGAGCCCTGGGCACGACACGCATGTGATGCGCGACGGATGGTGGGGCAACGAGCGGAAAGAACGACAGCACGCCGGCAAAAAAACCCAACTCCCATAATCGTCACGGGTTGCGGGTTGTGCGGGACAAGCGTTGAACGATTCCGTGAATGCAACCAACATTGTTCACAACGAACAACAGACAGTCAGCAACAACCCAGTCGCTTAGTACCACACCCTAAAATTCAGCATTTTCATGCGCTGACATACCCTAAAACTCTACCGGGCGACGCCAAAAACGTCCATCTACTGCGGAACAAAATGCACGCGAAGTTATTGAGAGCAAAGTTCGACCAGAGCAGGCGCATGCAGCGGCTCCAGATAGGACACCGTGCCGGCCTCTCGCAAACCCCTCCCACCCAAAACTTCTAGCCATCCCATTTTGGGATTGTTGCTCTTGCAGCGATTATTTGACCGAGACAAGCCACCTTGATTTAGACTTGCGCGGCTTCGAAACGTGCGGACAGACTCATAAAAGCAACAACAGGGCAATACAAATATGGGGCGGAGTGAAACGAAAAACATCGATTCCAGGCAGGATGAAAAGAGTTACGCCACACCGACGACGATGAGCAGCTATTCCAGAGGAACAACCTTGAGAATTGCAAAAATTACTTATCTGTAACACCATCTGATCGCTGAATAGGAAGGGTGCACACATTCAACCAAGGATACCACTGGAATGAGGAAGGCAAACAGGTGCTCGTCAGATCCCAGTCACGATATCCGTTTACACCGAACTCTCGCCATCAAAAAAGCTCTACAATGTGCGTGAAAGAAACGCGCACAAGCACCGTACATTGAGCAGCAAAGCAACGTTGGAGATACACTCCATCTCCTCTCGCACAGATTCCTATCTGCAAGCCGTTGGTAAAAAGCCCATCTCTTTGGTGGCAGTGCCAACCTGGACCCATCACGCCCTGGTTGGCACCACACAACGTACTTACGAAAACAAGAGGGTGTCATCGAGCAGGAGCACATTGTACTGATGCTCGATAATGGCAAACCGTATACCCCCTTTTTTTTCGTAGGTCGTCGTCCATTGCCAAGCCGAGAGGATCAGGCAACGTTCTCGAGCATCCAGCGAAAACTACTTACAAAAAATGCCGACTAGATGTTTCTGATGCTGCTTGACTATTTTTGTTCCAGGTGGCATGGTATCCTAGACATGTGCCTTCACCGACCGCTCGCCGATCACACCCTTACGGCAAATAGGCTCCAAGTAGGACAATCTTGTACATACTGCTGCTCGGAGTTTGGTCAAACCGTACACTCTCCTTGAGCAAGCGTTTCCCTTGGCTGAGCCGCCAAGAGAAAGGCGCCGTGTCGACGATGTGAAAGGCCACGCCGGTGAGACGAGGTACAAGTAACTTGCCTTCTGAAATGTCCAGATGGTATTTTCCGACACATCGGCACAACGCCATCGTCTCGCCAGCAAAGCCGACGGAAATGCTTACGAGAGAATAGCTCCCGGGAAAAAGAATATAAATTGTTCGAAGGAAAGAGGTCAGGAAAGTCAGTGGGGGGCTGCGGTTGCCGATATATCCGGAAATGTGCACTGTTCTGTACCTGTCTTAATCCGGGTGGGGTTTCCTTCAACCCACGGGGATCTTTGCTGCTGTCCATGTAGCAGTTCACCGTCGTCTGCAACTCGACCCACGTCGTCAACACACTGCGGAACCGGACGGCAGCAGCAAGCAACCATGACGGGGGGTGCCGCAAGTTCAGCAAAACATCGGCGTGAAAGCTAGTTCGGCCAATGTTCTACCGGCGAACAGCCGCAACAAGCCACGAAGAGCTGCGGACTTCGATCCCAACAAATAGCCCGGCCCAATCCCCTTGCCTGGAAGGCGGTGACGGTCACATCCCAGCATCTTTCTCGTGTCTGGCAACCGTGAAATTCCGGCAAGTGCTACATTTGCAGCAAGCCGCATGCTTGTTGAACTGTCACGCGCGGACTACTTCACACGGAAACAATTAAACGTTCTCGCGTTCACGCACACACCTGGGGCAAGGGGTATATCCCGAGTCCGCTAGTAGGTTACAGGCAGGGCGGCCTCAGTTAAGTAGATTAAAGGTTCTCGTCGTATCTTCACACCGGATTCAGAAGTCGGCAAAGTGGTTACATCACAGGCCGCCAAGCCCAAGGTACCCAAACCGAATCATCTTGGGGAAGCACTTTCTGGCACGGATTAACTTTCCAAAAACAACCAATTATAAACAAGTGACAATGGGTACAAAATTCAAGGTTCCGCCAAGCCCGTGACACTAAACAATCTCAACCGGCGAAGCGCGCAATAGAACGTTTTGAGCAGGCAAAAAAAACAAGGTTAACAACTCGAAGCTCAATGCCAGATCTAGCGAAGAGCTTGACTCTCACACTGTCAGCTTCAAGAACCAAACATTCATAAAAGACAAATTCAAACAAATCCAGAGACGCACAGGACCGCCACATTTTCATCAGTGTTAAAAAGCTCGCGAATAATTCGTCACGCTCCCGGGGGAGTTAGAAAAATGCATATTTCACATCAGCTGAATTTTCGTGGCGAGTCCTCGAACGATGACGCAATATTTTACCCAGACTCGCAGTCGCCTCCTGAAAGGAATGCCAGTCACTCCCTTTGTCGAGTCAAGTCTACCACAGAACCAGTGCAACCACAAATATCGAAAAAAACAGATCTACACGTTTGTTTTCTATTGCGGTCATGACGCACTGCTGTGTAAAGTACACTGCACAAACATCGCCGATGAACATCTGAATAAAAAATATAATAGACCGAAGGGTCAGGATGTCTGCCACTGATTGTCGGCGACTAAGATCGCACATCGAGAAAAACATTTGTATTGGATCACCCCGCCGCCGAAGCGGACCCCTGCCGACCTAACCATTTCCATTTCGGTGGAGTTCAACTGACCTACACTGAAGGCCATCAAGTATCCTTTGTCATATATGAACAATTTGCCACGATAGATACCGTTGAGGAAGCCGTATAGTAATCCAAGCTGGGAATTCATCCAACCCACCACAAGAGTCTTCAGGAAGGTAAAACGGTACAATTTTCTTCCAAAATCTTCACCTGGCAAGATCATCACCCTTGAGGCTGTCCGCGTTCTTCAAGCTCTCGTTCAGATTGAGCACCTGGAGGTCAACCATTCACAAAGAATTGGGTGAGCATCAACTCTTGATTTCCACAGTGCGGTGCGCATGTACAAAAACTCAGGAAAATCATGGGATCCCTATCATGACAACAAATAGCGTGCATGCTTTTTATGAAGACAAAAGAACTTGACGATGTGCGTGCGTACACACCATAACAGCAACGTACACTGAAAACAACTCAAAGCCCGAATCTGTACAAAGGGCCCTAACTATGAACCGTCACACCCAATCCACCACTTCTCTAGAGTTCAGCCTGATGTAGGCACGCGGCTAACACTCTTCGCAAATCGAAACATGCCGCGAGCGGGTTCAAAAACCGTAATCACGACACAAGTCTCGCGAACAGCCATTTTAGCGGCCAAGTAATCAATGTCGCCATCGTCTCTGGAATGAGGTGCATGGGATATCGCGCGCTCAAACAAACGATATAGATGGCCGAAGCCCCCTCATCGCTGTCGGGCGAGACAGCGAGAGAGGAGAGAGCACATGATGCAAACTTAGGCGCCGCCCCACATGCAGCCATTCACGTGTTGCATGGCAACTCTAACTTATTCTTCCATCGTTGACCGTTGTACACACAGAATACTCGATTTTACTTCGCAAAAAATATTTTTTTTTTTTTGAATACGTCGCTTGCCATGCTACACGTGAATGAAATCAGAAAAAAATGCCTAGGACCGCGAGAACCTTTGTGAGATGGACATTTTGAGGGTGCTCCGCGATCAAGTCCCCCATGTTCATGGGTGGTCTGAACCTTGGCGGGGGCACCGCGAGGACCCTCATGAAGAAAAAGCGGTACCCATCCGAGATGCCGCCGCGATGGAGGCCGTCGACATTCTGCGAAGACGAAGACCGTGCGCCGCTGACGTCACCAGGAACGGTACGGGTGCGCCTGTCGGACACAAAGATAAGGTCAAGAGTCGAGCATTCCTGCTTCCAGAGCTGCTGCATCTGGAGCTCCACCTCAATGGGAGGCATGAACTCGTGAAATTGCGCCCCCCTTTTAGCAGCCGGGTTTCCGGCGTCGGCCTGGGCGGCCGCGAGGGGCACCCCCACCACCTTCGATGATGGCGCGGAGCCCGCAATGTCGTCGTCGTCATCGAGGTTGTCGCCGTCTTCGGAGTCGTTATCTTCGGATATCGGGTCGGAGTCGTCGCCGGGGTCTTCGTTCGGTTTTCCAGGGTCACGTCTCTGGAGGAGACGAATTAGACATGAGGGAGACGTGTGCGGATGGCGAAAACGTCGGGTAACAATCCATAGGCGTAACCAAATACGTACATGACGAAACATGCGTTCATGGCGGGGTCGACCGGAGATTGCCTTGGTCTGGACTCTCTTAAATTCCCCTTGGAGACGAGGCCTCTGTGCCCATCCCTCGGCTCCCTCTCCAATGCAGAATATTTCAGAAAAAAAAAACTTCAGCATTGCCAGGCTCCAATACTCTGCATACCATGCCCAACGCACAAGCAAATACGTGAACTCAATCTGCGCACGCATTTCGTGAAACACCTTTCCCCCGACGAAAAACATCTGTCATCCCACAGGAGCGGCAAAGGGACAAATTCGTTCGCGTAATCCCTTTTGGGCAAGTACCTCCCGTGTGACACAAGATTACACAACCCCTTGACCAATTTTCGAAGCTCGATTTCTCAACTGCATGAACAGTCACAGCGCCGAAAACGGCGGCGTTGAAACCGTCTCGTCGAGAGCGTTCGAAAATGTATCGTCTCGTTTATCCCTTTGAAAATCGGTCCAAGGGGTGTCATCTTGTGTCATAAACGGTATTCAGGGCAAGCAAACCCACCCTGGCCATTTCTATACCCAGCCGATACTTGCAGGTTGTTACGGCACAGTTTCAACGAGAGCCAACGACATTCCTTCAAGTATCCGGTCATTACTTACCTGGACTGCCGAGACGATCTGTGTGTTGCATGTCTGGTTCGCCATGCGATTCTTGTCGGACAGCGGGACCTGAGGTGACGCAACAAGTTAACATAGGAAGTATATGAGACACGGCAAGCATCAAGCTTCGAGAAGACCTTCGTTGCAAGACTGGTTCGCCTTGCGATTCGTGTCAGAAAGCGGAACCTGAGGCGACACACGAAACTATTTATGGGAAGTTGAACGGATCCACGATTAACACCAAGCTCCCGAGCAGATCACACTCATGGACGAGAATACCAGAGAAATATACTTCTATTTTCTGAATGTGGTGTACCTCAAGGTGAAGTGAGATTGTCATGCGTGGGAATAAGCTCGGGTGATCATTTGACACATAACACGTCGAAGCTTTGAACTCTTTGCCGCCTTTTCATTATCCGTCCAAGATACTATTTATATCGCACAGGAAAGCCACTCCGCACCGCGCTTTATGTCGTTGATAGGGACGGCGACCGATATCAGCGCAAGAAAGTCGCTGCTAATGCGGCTGCGGTGCCAGCTCAGCAAGCTGACACTGCAGCCGCGGTAGCCCGCCTCTCCGACATCGACGCCTATTGCCTTCGCGAAGAGCGAAAACAAATGGCGGCGCGGAGTGGCTTTACACCTACGATGCACACAAAGTTTCTTGTGGTGTGAGGGCAATAGCCGTGAGGGACACCATTAGCATACAAATATCTTGTTGCAAAGTCTGTTACACAATGGGGAGATCTTGCTGGATACTGCTCTGAAACCGAAGCAGGTTGTAAAGGTACAACACTAGAATTTCAACGCTGATCTAACACGGGCTGTTTTCGCCATGCAGAAGAGATGGATCTGTTTTGCCCTTCGCGCACAAATCAAACCAAAAAAAGGTCCCCTACCACGGCCACAAGAAAACTTGAGGATCGGAGGAGCCAATTCAGATGGCACCGGCACGGCACGAAGGCGCTTCGAACTGAGGCCCTTTAATCTCACTTTGTGCAACGCGCCGAAACCAAACCCCCGGCCATCTACATACACAATGTGCGCGGTACGCTCAAACGCACACCACGAGCCGTAGTTGCATTAGAGAAGACCGTCCAAAAAAACTAAAGAGATGATCGCGCGATGTTGCAGCCATTCTTCCGACAGCAAGCCTCAAAGGCCAGAAGTTGCCGATTCAACAGAAACTCCCCGATTCGCCTCACCAGTTGGAATTTTCAGCGACAGGTCAAGCAGAAACACGAAAAGATTGCAATTCATTAAACATCCACCCGTGTCTGTTCATCGCTCAGCAGGAAGGCAGCATGATTATGTTTCATCATTGAACCCCGAAGGAGCAATCGGAACACTAACATGACTCGTCATCGCGAAAACACAAGCATCACGCTTTACTGCGGCCGCAATCATCGCTCCACGTCTAAACGCCCAGTTCCGCAGCATACTGCAACGCCACGACACTTGACCGGACATGGATAAAAACAAACCCCGCAACAAATAAAACAACGCCCCAACAGTGTACTCTGCCAAACACTTCGCAGGACATGGATGAAACCAACATCTCAACGATTACAAACGATGCTGCCCAATTGTGCACCTCCACGACACTCCAAAAACATGGAACCAACCAACCCCACGACGAAATAAACGACGATTTCTCATGTCACAACTGACAGCCAATGCCGATCAAATTGAATGGGGCGGGGTTATAGCGCCCTAGCCAAGGAGATATATATTTAGTGTCCGCCTTCTGGAGTATACCTGGAACAGTTTGTTGGAGCCGTCCTTGCGAATGTTCGGGGAGAAGGCGCCGCAGTTCTCGCACCGTTTGCATGCTCCAATGGCTTTGATCAAGTTCTCGGCCAGCTGCCGCCTAAAAACAAAAAAAAAAATTGGGTTCATGGCAGGTAACATTACGCACAAACCCAGGCGGCGCGTATATGGGTACTCCGGCATCGCAGCAACCACGATCTGAGTGCACGTATCCATTGACTACTGAAAAACCGCTCTGGCTTCGATTTTTACAGAGCCGCCTGCTGCGATGGGCAGCGGCACGCCATCGCGGGAGTTTGTGTGGGAGGCACACCGATGGCGACACCCTACGTGTGACTCGGCAACCTCACATTCAGATCGCGACATATAACGCATGCCCGTAGTAAATGCGGTCCGTCTCACCTTAGCTGTCTGTTGTGCCCACCGCACCAATCAGCCCGCGGGGCATCGGCAAGGTCTTCCTCCAGGCAGCCGAGCACGCGATCCCGGTGCCTGGCAACAAAAAACACAACATCCATCGGCGGATTAGCAAAATTACACCATGTCCATGCTGGATACCATTGTGAACGTAAAATTTATCCGGACGACGGACGGCCTTTCATCGAACACCATGCTCATTCGACAACTATGTTTACTAGATTGCGAAGGTTATATCTTCGGGGTATCTTGTATCGTCAAACAGCTGTTTCAGGGGAAAAAAACGGCACACCAACACTGCTAAAGCACACAGAACCAAAACATGCCAAAAATCAAACGCCTTCGACTTCCACCAGGGTTGAACAAGTAACGACCCAAGCCGGCAATACCGAGGGACAACCGTGTAAGTAACGGGCCAAGCCGGCAATACCGAGGGACAACCCGTGTACATTGAAGCGTGTGGGGGGGGTGGGTCTCACTTGGTGGCAGACACCAGCGTGTCTTCTGTGTTCCCGTCGAGGACATCGTGATCTTTAGCGCCATCCTTGAGATACCCTAAGAGGGTCGCATCCAGCTCGAGAGCCTCCTGCGCGCGACCAGCATCGACAAGCATCATCTGCAACGACAGGAGCGGGTAACGAGGCACAGCATTACCAACGTGAACCAGGGTCAGACTCTTACGACCACAAAAGGGACGTGGGCGTCCTTTTGCTTTGGTCCTTTCATGCTGGCGCCAGCCTATTCTTTTTGGTGCATATTGTTAACGGGAAAGTGGGTCACACGCGCAAACTAACTATTGTTCTTGTCGGCTTGGGTTTCTTCATGGATCGTCAGTTACACGCGCGTAGTGATAGTATCATTGTTGTCGGCAAGATTGTCATGGATCGTCGGTACGCGCGGCCGGGCGAGGTTGCACCCTTGGATATAGTTTGCGATGATCGCATGAGCTGTCCCTGCAAGATAGGCCCGGAAGCGACCAAAAAAGAAGAAGCGGCATCGCATCGCACTGTACCTATCTTTGGCTCTGTTCAAATGTTCTCGTGTACTTATCCATTCTTTTAGCGAATGGCACCGCAATGTTGGGTTCCCCGTTGACCGATATTCCGGGGCCACTTCAACAACAAGCGGTGGAGTCGCTGGCATTTGATATAGTTTTCTTAAACTTTCGTTCGCAAGTACCAGCGACATGCAGCGCTTCCCCACCGTCGCAAGGGTGTTTTACGTACAACAGCGTTGCAAAGACTACATTTGTGCGTCAACACAATCGATCAAATCCCCGCAAGGCAAGGACAAAACGCTGCAATGATCCGGTAGAGCACGTACTCGTCTGGGACAATCAAACAGGAGGTGTTCTCGGATTAGGCGGAAGCAAAATACTAGTAACCACCAAATCGGCGTATGCTCGGAAGCTTACCAGGTATCTGTCACCACATAAGAGGAAGCCGGAAGCAACCTCCGGTAAGACAGGGATAACTTTTTATCGTCACCGCATACGCCACGCCTTATACGATTGGTGTCACTACGAGGACGACAACTATCGGAAATATCGGGACACTTTGGAGACAAGCGCGAACATAACAATGGTTACCATATAAGATTGGTGCATTTCAAGGTACAGAACAACCTATACAAATTCCAGTGCGTCGCTGTTTTTGTTCCATAAATGCGAAGATGTGGGATTTTCGTCCATTCAAACGCCGAATTTAGTATCACGGGGACAATAATTGACCAAAGGGATGGGAAAAAAAACAACACACTTTCATCATTTTTGTTCGGGAAAAACATATACTTCGAACCGTGAGGCATCTGTCGCTATACGGAAGGGCCAACTGCCCCCCCTGGGCAAGACAGGGCTTCCTTTTTGTCGTCGCGGCATCTACGAAATTTCACTGCGGTAGTTTGGTTAGCTGCGAAACACAAGCATCGCCCGGCGTGAGCCGGGCCAACCCACGAAATAAGACACATATACTTATACCTGATAATGTTTTGAGGTATCTGAGTGGAACAACCAATCCGAAAATACGGTATGCAGCTGTCGGCAAAATTGATTTGGCAGTTTGAAGGTCGTAACAACGGAGGGCTCTTTGCTCGGAAGCTTACCAGGTATCTGTCACCATGCGGAGCGGTGTAAACCAGATTCGGGTAAGACAGGGATAACTTTTTATCGTCACCGCAAAGAGTACATTCCATTTCCCGTGAAGGACAAGCGATCTGAATCGTCAAGGAAATCCATGTGTAGCACTGCTGTGCAGCAAACCGTGAATATCGACCACAGCACCCATGAATATCGACCACAGCACCCAAGAGGTAAGATCCATATACTGCCGTGTTACATAATAACGTAAGATTTAAAACGTAAAAATCATTCGGACCCTGCCGTCACTAAATTCCCAGCAAAAATATAACCGAACCAGCTTCAGGTGCCTCCACATGAGCCTCGGGTAACCAAATATGTACATGTAGTCTAACATCTGGACTTTCACAGCATGTCTATAGCAGCCAATGCCAACGTTCTTACCTTCACGGCTGCTACCCGTGTCTTGCTCTTCGAAAGTCGAAGGTTGTGGCAGCTGAAGCATTTTGCGCGCAGGAGCTTGAACAGGGCTCCGAACAGGATCGGATGATACACGGACACGGCTAGCTGCGCACAAGTTTCAGGGTACATATCGTGCAGGCATAGGCGATTACGCACGCGGCGGACAACGGACGACGATTTTGAAACAATCAAGAAAGAACTTCGCAGAAACACCAGTGAGATGTTCCCGAGGTGTAACGAGGAAATTAAGACTAGGAATCAACAGCAGCGGGGTCGTGTGCGCCATACGTGCGAGATTTACCCTGCAGGAGAGGTTCCTGTTTAGGGCCGCTATGAGTCGAGGGAAGACACCGGCCGTTCATCGGGCCCCGGACACTCAGGAAAGATTACAAGCACTAAGCCAAGCGCCGGCCTCAAGTAGGGCACTTCACTGCCGTCTCATGTCGGGAACCAGGAGGGCGGGGCACTTTGTAACGAAGGCCCGTCAGCGTTTCGGACTTCCGGGGGTGATCCTGCGTTCTTCAGCGCCAAAAGGGAGACCTCTCGAGTACAGGTTGCGTGCCTGAATCTCACGGCACTTCGTGTCGGCAGACTGACGTACCTCGATGTGCCCCATGTGCCCCGGACAGTTCTTCTGATCTTGACCGCACGTCGCGCACATCATCATCTTATCCACAGGTCCCAGCACCGGATCATAGAGGCCACTTGGTGTCACCGAACAAGTGGAGGAAATGGAAAATTAGTGCGCAGCAAGCTAGCCCTATCTGAGCGAGCAAGAAAGCGGACGTGAGGCACTGGAGGGGTACACGCGGATTTCGGCTGGTACAGCAGTAGGTGCATGGTAATACATGCGCCACGGATGGAGGAAGCCCCCGACACCCGCAACGCGTGAGGGACAACCACTCACCCGCGTCCCTTGTCGTTGCCTTCAAACAACGAATCGTTCCGGTCTCCGAGTACCTTCTAAATGTTTATACGGTCTAACTGACGCGGACTTGTAGGATGAACACAAGTAAGGGGGACTTGATCATTGATTTTGCGCTCAGTCAGGCAACCGAAATCGCAACAATGGTAATGGAGCACTGCTGTACGGAAAATATTAAGGCGTGGCGGGTTTTCACCGGTTGTCATCACCGGACCCGATCCAAAGATATATATATTCCAAGGTTAGGTTCTGTAGGGTACCCACAGATCTATACCGGGGGTAATTACCCTCTGTTTTACCCTACAGAACAATTCTGTGAGTTCTGTGCCCGTAGCGCCACAATACCCTACACTTCTGTGAGTTCTGTGACGGTTGCACCACAATACCCTACACTTCTGTGAGTTCTGTAGCACACCCGATACCCCACAGAGATTACCCTCTTGTTCTGTATACAATACCCCAACACTTCTGTGAGTTCTGTGACGGTCATGCCACAATACCCTACACTTCTGTGAGTTCTGTAGCACATCCCGTACCCTACAGAGATTACCCTCCGGTTCTGTAACAGATCCAATACCCCACAGACATTACCCGTACCCTACAGAACCTAACCTTGATATATTCATACATATTTTTTCCTCTCTCGGATCATTGGACTCTGTCGTCTGCCCCTCTGGTCCCTATCCTCCAATTCCACTAGCTTGACGACCCAACCGGGGTCACATAGGAGGCGGGGGCTGGACCCCTCCTGCGGTTCCTGCCTGAGGCATTTTTATCGTGAGAAGGGTACAGCAATCCCTTCCCTCGCGACCTATGAAGTCGATCAAGTTTACTAACAACGAGCTTTGCAGCGCATCGCTTCCAACGGAGACTAGGATTTAACTAGTGAGAAAAAACTCGCGCTGCCGGGACTCGAACCCATGACCTGGCCCTCAGCAGGCTGCGAGGTTACCCACTAGACCACCTGGGCGACCGGCACATATGTCCGGTTGCTGCTGCTGCTGCTGCTGCTGCCGCTGGGCTGGTTTTCCTTCAGTACTTCATAACAGCAGCAGATTTTTCATCTTCACAAGCAACAGAGCTCCTACGCGGTCGGATTGCCCCATAGACGATGGTCCAAAAGATGTGCGACGTCCATGAAGCGTGATCAATGACGTCCGACACTTGAAGTAAAATCGAGTTGGATGGCAAGCCTGCTGCGCTAAAAGCTACGGTCATCGTACCTTGTGGGTGGCTGCCAGGGCTCGGCAACGAAAAAAGCTCAAGGTGAGTACTGCAAAATGCCGATATGTGCATGATGCACAGCGACCCAATTGTCATGTCAACGAACACAACGGGTGAATGCAAGCGTTCGTGAGAGTCGACTTTCGGAGAACGCTGCACTCGGCACCGAAGCTGGCACACCATGTGTGTGGGGGGCAAACGAGAGCGCGGGTGTGTATCGGTCCCACAAATATGCTGCTGTTACCTAGGCTGCTCCTGCGGCTGCTTTTGCGTTGCACCTGAAAGACACTCACCCAGGTAGAGGGTTGTTGAGCGTGTCGAACGTTACTGGTGACGTGATGCGCTTGACGCTGAGCTTCCTGATGTCATCGTCCGTGAGGAAGCCGAAGCCGATCTCCTCCACAGCATGCCGTATCACCGTCCTATCGTGAGACATGATGGCGAATGCTAGGCGAGACTTCTAAAACATGCGCTGCTTCGAGCAGGAGAGTTCGTGAAACAACGTGTCGTGGGCTCGCCGGTGCTCGCGTCTACCTGTAGCGGCGGAGCCGCATGCACAGATAGGCACGGGCTTGCTGTGGCATGGTGTGTGTGGCGGCTGCGGGAGCCAGAGGGGGAGCACCGCAGTGGAAGCAGTTGTTCTATACAGGTACCCATCCTATTTGTCTGCGGAGACCCGAACCGTCGGTTACAATTGTTTTTGGTTTTACGAGCATCAACGACAAGGGACGGAGGGACTGTACGAAGACTCATCAAACCGTGAGCGCCTGCACGTCTGCACGCTCGAATGGGAAACCTCGCGTGGTTCATTGAACTGGCGCATGGTTTGCGATAGAGGTTATACCTGGCATTGGTAATTTTCACGTTGCGACTGAGAAAAGGTGTTCATGGGAACGACAGCTGCAGAGGGGGAAAATGGAAGCCCGGCTGTGGACTTTCGATGACATCAAGGACGCGTCCAGGAGACACGAAGAATACCGCCACAGCGACAACCCGATCCGGCACTACTTCTACGGCGTCGCCCTGGACATGTCAGGTCAAGAAGAAGGTGCAACCGAAAAGTATGACGCATTCCGAGCCGAGGCCCAGCGATTGTTTGGGGACGTTGAAAGCGCGGCAGCACACTACGCGGGAGAGGGATTGGCGCTCAGAGGTGACGAGCGAAGCTCGGATCACTACGCAAACATGGCACGGATTTTGAGAGGGTCTGTACCCGGGGCCGCCGGTCGTTCAAAGACGTGCGTCCTAATGTAGCGTTTTATACACAGTAGAAGCAAATGGTGTGCGTACGAACATTGATTTTGCGGCCGGTTGTATGTTTGTCTCCGACCAAATCCCAGTCGAGATTAGATTGACACAAAGCAAATTACATTCTGATGATTGTAGCATATTAGCCACGATTTCCTGAGGTGACGCAATACCAACATGTAAGCTTTGAGTGTTTCTGTGTTTGAAAAGGCAACCACGGCTCTTGCCAGAATTATGTTCATGGTGTAGTCTAGGTGGCGAGCTCACTTCCGAGTTTGAGCTGATGCAGTACCCACTTGTTAGAGGTAGTCGTTGTTGGTATCCGTTCCAAGAGTAGGATGATGTTTGTAACCTATAGACTAATTGACACTTGATGTAAACTGTCATTGTTATTGATAAGAGCGGTGAAACCTCCGTCGATCCTGTAATGATGGTTTAATTGTTCTCCAGTTAGTGTTTGGCGTTTTTCCATATCGTTGCGAGAAAGGAGTGCCGTCTCGACAAGGTGTTTCAAATATGTGTAGAAACACAGGGACCCGAGAGGTCCGCCAGTTGGTCAATGCGCGTTAGTGAGGGGCAAGTGTGCATCGTTGCGCAGCCAATGACAAACGCGTTTTGACGCGACTACTCGGTGCGTCCTACGACATATTCTGCAGCTATCTTACGAGACCGACGTCGACAATCAAGAAAGAGAGGTAGCTCGACATCGGTATTTCAAACAAAGGACCTGCGGTTGAGGGGGTAAAGACGCAATAGTTGCGGTAAACAAGAACAAAATATAGCCACAAGCGAACCATGAAGTGTTCGTGGATAGCTGGTGCGCATACCCCTGCAGAGCGCTGGGGCAAGGACTTCGACGAGTCCCGACTAATATTATCGAGAAACCAGTCGCTCTACATTCGAAATCTAACCTCGAGAGCGTTAAGACGGTGGAATGCGTGTCCGAAAATAAGCGCTCCACACCTCTTCATCCACGCGTTGTCGGTGGATGCTAGACACGTCGAACTTGTTCGTGAGGTGGATTTTGACACCCGTACGAAGGCTACTGCGGTAGTACTCATGTGTGGTTTTGAGCTTTGTCTGTGCGCAAGTACGTGGCCGTCCATTGTCATTTGGATCTTCGGGGTATCTCCGGTATTGGTATCTTTGGCAAGTTGTCACGTTTTCCGTGCTGTCATGTGTTCCGAGTTCCGAATGTGCCTTGCGACTGTTGCTCGCGTGCCTCGGTGTTTGTGATGCACCCTGGTGCCCACTCTCTTCCGTTGCTTGTGTCTACGTGGACGACCAATGAAACGACTTTACCATCTCTTGACATTGTCAACAGGGACAGCCGTGTTTATCCAGCAGCACTCGGCTTGGGGCCAATCAACAGAACTCGTCCAAAAAGAGTGTCGTTCGTGTGAATTTGAAAGCCATGCTGTGTCTATCTCGTTATGACACTTACCAGCAATGCACTAACGTTGGGTTGCTTTACAATCGAATCCACACTTCCGCTGAACCGATTTTGAAAGCTCGATTTCTCTGCAGAAAAAACAGCTGCTGCGCCAAAACGATGGCGCTGGTACCGCGTCGTGGCTTTCCGAACACTCTTTACTTCGTTTTCATATATTGTTCATCATTGGGAGAAATCGAACATCTACAATCGGTCCAGGGGTGGGGTTTTGCAACGTATGGAATCGGCTTGGGTAGACTCGCCGATGCTTGTTCGTCTTTGCTTTTTTCCGTTTGCTACCGTCGTCGTTATACACCGTACCTCATCATGGCGATGACACACTACCAATATATATATATATATTGTGGCCCTCTTGGAGGATCAGCACGGCAGCCTGAGGTAATCTGCGTTGTCAATGTGGTATGTGTCATGATCGATGAATCGCGGGACACAAAACTATGGAAACAGCTGGGAATGCCTCTCTCACGAGCTCAGGATGTTCAGACGACCACACCATGCCTTTCAAGTGTGGTACAACACATCATACGCCCTAAAATGTAGCACCCGGGCGTGTTGCCTTGCTTCCAGGCAAGCCGGGCTTATGTCAGGAAGAGCCTATTCGATATACTCGTAGCATAGCATGCGGGTGGTACATTGCGTATACATATGCTGGTATTGCAGTGACGAACTACGGAGGAACAAGAAGTTTCTTTATGTTTTCCTTGGGAGTGTGGTAGATTGGTGGACATTCATGGAGATTCGTTTTGGGTGTTAGAGCGTTATGCGTGACTTGATGCCGTGATGGAATGACGAGCTCAAGCACGCCCCCGATTACAACAATACGTTTTACAACACGTTTTCCTACACGTCCCTACCCTACCACGGCCCGTCATGGCCCAGCTGCTCTACACTCCCAACACAAAGAACTGAGCCACCGAATTATCGATCACGCTAGCGTATGACACGTCGTCTACGAGATTCGCGGTCGAGCTTGGTTTAGGAGTATCGCTTTGCGACGATCGAGAGCAGGGTCAAGATGGCTACCAGGCGCGAAGATGAGGCCCGCCAAGCAGCGGAGGCCCGCCAAGCAGCGGAGGACGCCAGGAACTAAGAACAAGATAGCTCCCGCAGCGTCGACAAGAGCGCGCGGTTTGAAGCTGAAGAAGTCAACAGGAGTCCGGACGTCAGCTGCGAGGTGAAAGCAGGAGAGGGTTAGATAAAAGTCATGCGAGAGAGCGAAGAGTACGAGGTAGGCCAGCAGCAGGGAGCGCGCCTAGAACCATCGACCACGCCCGCGGACGACATCCCCCTGACCATCGCGCGAGCCCCCGACGGGCGGCTCAGCGCATTACAGCAGCACCACTTCTGCTACTAGGGTCCCAGACCCGCTCAGGCACGTGATGAAATGATCATGTCCTCTGTCCGAAGACGAATATGGCCTTGTTTTGTGTTCCGAAAGTTTTTTTTTGTCTTGTCTTGTGTCTGAATCGTTTCCTGTGTTGGGAATTCTGCGAAATGTGTGATGTTGGGATGAAAGAGAGAGTACGGTTGTCCCGAACGAGATAACTGAACGTGTGAGGGGTTATCAAGCCACCAACAGCACGTATGAGGGGATGTTATGCTTCCAAGAGTTTAGTTGCCAATCGTGCAACGAAAAGAGTATGAGGGGCTTTTATCACACCAAAAGCAGTACGGTAGTAAAAAAAAAAAAAAAAATGCGTAACTTTGTTTGTGGGACTACCACGTCACCACCGACACAACAGCAAAGCGTGGACATCATACGCATTTGAACGACAGTCAGAATTCTTGACGCAAGCACGTAGGATTTCATGGCAAGTTTGTAGGAGATGTTGGGTAGAATTTCGCTGGAGAGAACAGCAATATGCGTGGCAGGACCTCGGCGAAAAGCGAGACTTGACCCAAGACTGACGTTTTCCGACTAGATCGCAGCGAAAAATAGTCCGAGGCATCACTCAGCCAAGAAGCGAGGTTGACCCAGAAACTAAATTCCCGACTAGATCGTAGAGGACAGCAATAAGAGGCAGTACTCAGCATGACGCGGAGCAAGATCCACCAAATGCGTTCCTCCGAAGAGATCACTCAAGACCATTTCAGTGGCACAACACGAACTTTGAAGTTTCACGGCGTGAGCAGAAGAGAAATTTTGGATGTCCAACTGTATTTTATTTTGTTTTGGTACAGCAGTCACCCCTGTGCAGAACCGGGGGGAGTGTTGTGGAATGTGATTCTCCTCAGGAGTGCTGTTTTATAAGGAACTGATTGTGCCACCATCTTCCCTTCCGAACGCGCGACCTGCCCTCCACCGCTGCCGAGTCAATCCTTCTGGAGCGACAATTGTGGTCTCCCCCAACGAAGGCGGACGATTTACGGACGATGCTCCAGCCGCGGCCAGCCGGACGAAGAGCACAGAAGGCGACCGCGGCGGAGGCGAGCGAAAATCCACGGGGGAGAAACAATGGCAGGGGCAGTGGTCCAATGCGCTGGGGTTTATGGCTGGAAAAGTAGGCGCATTGAGGTTCATCTTGAATTTGAGTTAGTTTGAGATTTGGCGTTTGTTTTGTTTGATTTGAGCTTGGGTTTGGTTTTTCAGATCTGATTGAAGTGTGGATGAGAGGATCAGAAGTACTGTTATGATTTTCGGCACCTCTCGTATTGTTTTTCGGCTTGACTCCGACCCCTTCACAAAGCAGGGGGGCGGATCCTCGGAGCAGGGGGGCACGTTATATTCTTTCAGACGAAATGAATGGCGTTGCTGACATTTCTTCACCGAACATTAATGATATATTTTGAGTATTTCAGGGAGATAGTACTTGTTCGCGTTTTACCTGCGGACGAAGGGTTGGTGGATGAATGGAATAATTTGTCTTAGGATTGCATACATCTTGGTAATGGTAGGATATCTAGCTAGGCGGATTTAGAGACGCACCGAGATATTGTGACGAATTGGCGGTGAAAGGAAAGGCGTCTTGAACGGCGTTCGTCATATTTTTCTGGATGAAAAGAGTTTGAGTTGAGAATTTTCAGAAGAGAGCGAGAGTGATTGGCGTGTGTTGGTATGCTATTTGAATACTTTTGTCGTGTCTGAAGTATTTTCGTTTTCTTGGTTTTGATTGTGTTTTGGGATGAACTGGTATGAGAAGGATGACTATGATATTTTCCCGGAGCATGACGATGCATACGAGCAGGGGGGCTATTCGATATACTCGTAGCATAGCATGCGGGTGGTATATTGCGTATACATATACTGGTATTGCAGTGACGAACTACGGAGGAACAAGAAGTTTCTTTATGTTTTCCTTGGGAGTGTGGTAGATTGGTGGACATTCATGGAGATTCGTTTTGGGTGTTAGAGCGTTATGCGTGACTTGATGCCGTGATGGAATGACGAGCTCAAGCACGCCCCCGATTACAACAATACGTTTTACAACACGTTTTCCTACACGTCCCTACCCTACCACGGTCCGTCATGGCCCAGCTGCTCTACACTCCCAACACAAAGAACTGAGCCACCGAATTATCGATCAGAGCCAATGCAATACATAGCAAGTGGTATCAGGAAGGTTACGGCGGCTTTTTCGTCGGAAGCCAAATACCTTTTGTCACCACCGTGCAGCCACGCCCGCGACAAGAATGTGTTTGTTTTCGAAAACGATCAAGTGTTCAGTCGCAACACAGATCGACGCCCCCCAAAGCGCCGTCGGCACCTGCTCGGGCGCAAGAGGTGATGTAATTAAATCGGGACATATGTGCGAGGAACACACCAGTAGCGACCGGTTGCTATTTTGCGCGCAATGAGAACACAAGGAATATTAGCGCCATCCGACGCCTACATTCGGAAGTAGATAGGAATCATAGCGCGTAGCGTACGGTTGTGTACGCAAGGCGTGTGAGTTGGTGGTGAATGTCACCGGAAAAGACAACAAACGGGGTTGGCCGATGGACATCGTTTGAGATGAGGGGAAAACCGAGAAAGTCACGCAATACCACCCACAGCGGCAGCACTGTCACAGGCCACTCTGACCAGATGCACGGCTAGCCCTTGTCACACTCGTTCTCGGAAGCTCTTTATTTCTGTTCTTTCGCCACGGGTTGGCTCCAACAAGCGCGTGAGAGTGTTCTCGTAGCGCGGCATGACCTTGGCCAACTGACCAGTGGTCTACGAGCAAGAGACAAGAGAGAGGTTTGTGTCGCATGTCGGCAAACACCACACAGATCGAGAAAAAACTGCGATTTTCTGCTAACCGACCGAAATTTGGGCACGAAACTTATGGAAAGGGTGCGCACGCTTGCCGCAGCTACGCTTTTATTCATTCGATTCGACTACCAGTATTTAGGAATCTTGAGAACGCCGGTCAAGGAAAAACAACGTGGAGCAAGACAAAGGAAAGCCAACAGGACGAGGGAAACGATTTGCCCCCCAAGAAAGTGTGCAGAAAACCGTCTCTTCGAAGATTTTCGAAGATTTTGTCGCCACAGAACCTGATTTCCATGAAGGGGCTTCAGCATCGGACAAGGCAGCGACACAAGTGCGCCTCAGAACTCAGCACACGAGTGCGAAGGGTCTCATACAAGGCCTTCGCGAAGTCGTCCCCTCCCCAAGCACGAGCTAACGGTGTTGCCAAGGATGTACTGCTGTCGCCATCACTTGCAACTCAAAGTGGCAAGAATTGGAGAAAGCCCTACAAGAGCTGAAAGGATTCCGTAACGACCCAAAGACATGAGAAAAGGTGAGAAACTCATCGTTCGACATCATCGTTCGACATTGTTCTGATGCAAAAGAGGACAACTTCTTCAGCTTTCCGAAAACCTCGATGACTGAAACATGCTACCGACCAGGAAAGTGCAACCGAAACACAAGACCTTTATTGGTTTATCGATTGTGTTACCCAATTCGCAGGAAAACTGGCGCTTCGTGAAGGAAGCCAAGCTCCCGCCACAAATCTTCGGTGGCCACCTCTTCCTCAATGTAGGTTCATAGCCGTCGCCAACCCCTTCCTTCGGTCTTCCACAAGTTGTACCCTACACCATTCCTCTGCGGTGTGCAACACCCGCCTCTCTCAGATACGTAGCACAACAAGTTGAGCTCCTCCACCGCTACCTCTGCTGCCAAAACCTGCCGCACCATATCTTCCGATGCAGTAAGATGCTCCACCGTTGGTGTTGGACGGATCGCCGGTCCTCCTTGATTAGACGGTATTCTCGTGGCTGTCTCCACCGCTGCTCTAACCGCCGCCGTCACTTGGAGCGCTAGCGCCCGTACCTCCTTCCCCGCGTGCCAACGCCTCCGCGGCGGTGCGGCGGCGCCCGGAAATCTGCCGCATGCGGTTGGCCGCCAGATACTCCCCCCGCAACCCCCCTCCCGTCGACACGACCGCGGCGACCAGGTTGCCTATCTCTGCGTTGACGATGGGGTCCGGATCCCAGCCGTGCCACAACCCGTACGCCGCGAGAAGGTGGAAGCCCAAGACGCCCGCGTCTGCCACCAACGCAACGCTGAAGGAACGCACGGGAGAAGCGTCCAACGTCGGCCGAGTTGCCGAGTTTGCGCCGCCGCCGCCGCCGCTGCTGCCGCTGTCTCCCTTCCGGCCGGCCTCCCGCTGGAAGCTCATCTCCGCAAGCGCGAGGCCCACGCACGCGCGCTTAAGCTCGTGTCGTACCCTGCGATAGTCCGTAACGCAAGTCCAGGCCGAAAACCCGATGCCCACGATAGGGAGGGCTATCAGGCAGCCGCGGCCCGCTCGGGCGGCGGCTGTGCGAGCGGGCAGGTTGCCGAAGATGCCCCCGGCGGCGGGAGGAGTGCCGGTATTAGGCGCCGTCTGTGCGGTTGCATCAGCGTCTTTGTCGTCCCTGCTGTTCATCGTTGATGCCTTGTCGGATCCACTGAGGCTACGACACTGAGTGTAGTGCAACGTTCGCGCCTGCTGCTGGCTAATCGAGGCGCCCGTAAGAGAGGGTGGTCGGAGGTGGCTGCTGTTGATGGCCGCCGCACGTCGAAGGAACACACGGGCTGCCGCGACGGCGTGGTGTTGAAGTACATCACGAGTCATGCTTGTTCCGCCAGCAAGCAAAAACAGGCGGAAAACGCTTCGCACGTATGCGTTGAAGTTCCAGTGGGTGAGCGACATACACGACACAGGGCAGGGACAGGACCTGGCACCTGGAGATGCGGCGCAATTGATATAGGGGCTCCGCATATGTACATTTGGGGGACTGCGTTGGTCTCCATCGCGTCGCCGCGACGCCTCGTTTCTCCGAGCGAGACAAGCAAGTCCGAATTCGCGCAGTTGTTTTGTGCAGCGCACCGTCGTTCATGGAAGCCGAAGAGGCCTTCGATCGCTCCCTTAGCTCCGGGTCCGGCATGCCGCCTCACCAACGGAGAAGCCAGCTCCTGGGCTACGTATTCTCGTCCCCTCTTGTGGTAAGCGATCGCCAGAAGAGGAAGGCGCTGTTGATCTCGTCGTGCCGCGGGACAATAGTCCAGTGTTGCTCTCACACAGCGGCACAGAGAGAGAGAGAGAGAGAGAGAGAGGGAGAGAGAGTTGAAGGACGCCGATAATAATACGCGACTTCCCGACCATGCTGGAATCTATCGCGACAAACCTCGCATAGTCTATGCCTGTAAAAGAACTGACTCCCTCTCTCGGCACTCTCTGCTGCTGTCTTATTTTCGTGCTCGTTTTTTTCGCCACAGAGCTGGGGAGAGAATGGCCGGATGAAGAGGATGGAACAGCTGGGCACATCTGAGGTAGGGCAGAGAGATAAAGTGGTCCTGTGCCTTTTGCTGCAAAAGTTCAAGTGCGTTGCAGCGCACATGCTGCCAAAGTCTGCCTTACGTGCTGTGGGTGAGCATGTGCTACACATGACCCACCTGCAGCTGCAGCTGCAGCTGTGTGCGACGGGAACACAAGACACCGGTCGCCCCCGGTGGTCTAGTGGTATCCTCGTATTCCGGTAGTCGCAGAGGTCGTGAATTCGAATCCCCATGGGTTGAAAAATTCCCGAAGTGTGCGGGTGAAAACGAAATATAGCTGACAAGCTCTCGTGAGTACCAAACTTCGACGTTCGCACCATTGACGAGGGAAAGGGACAGCTGAACCCTTCTCGCGATAAAATAAATAAAGAGAAGAAAAAGACCCCGGTGTTTACCCCCTCCTGTGTGACCCTGGATGGTTGTAGTTGTACCAAAAATACACTGAAAAGTGTACTCTCTACATACGCTGGAAAGTGTAGTACATGTCTCATGACGAAAATGGGGGGACTGTCGCCATAATAAATAGGACGAAAACACACACAACACACAAACATAATTTTCCGCAGCACCCACCGTAGATATCAACAGAGAGGCGAGACAGAATGGCCTACCTTCCCGTTCGAAGCATTGCTCTTGGTGCCGTGGCGCGTTGGGGCGCATGCTACGATGCTGGTGCTTCAGCGGCGCCTTTCTCTTTTTCTTTGGTTGCACCCAAACAGAAAACGAGCACGCTGCTTCTCGACACCACACCACCAACGGCATCATCTGCCAGCAGCGGCGTTGTCGAGCGTTGGTTGCGGTTTCTTACCGACGAAGTGACCTCTCCTCCACGCCCCGCTCGAACAAGAGCACACACACTCACGTTGTTTTCTTGGCGTGTGTGTGCCCGGCTACCACCATCCCCCATCCACTCTCACCGCCACAACGTACATGCAGCACCATAGCGGCTCTTGCCCGTCACCGTACAATACTATGTTCCAGCAGAGTGGGACCGTTGTGTGCGCAGCGGTTACTTGCCGGACGTTACATTCAGAGAAAAGCCCCTTGGAGCGCCAGGAGGCCACACATGGCCAAGATGGTCGAAGAAGAAAGCAGTGGCATTCACACTCCACCCATCCGCTATTTTTGCGTATATTGATGGAAATCGTTTTGAGTGTGTCTCATCGGCAGAATCGAAGTTATTAATCAGAATCGACTTTCAGTTTAAGACTAGAAGGAGCCAGCGTCCATCTGCTCTGATTGCTTGTAATGCGTTCTTTGGGGATGAGCGAACGGATCTTCCTGTTCTTAAACCTGATCTCGAAAAAATGGCCAGAGGGTTGATTTGGAGTCGACTTTTGCCAAACGCAACCAACTTCGGGTGGATGTTGGGCGGTTGGGAGCGTGCTGCGGCGGTTGAAGTTTTTCATCTCGCACGCTGCGCGCCCACGTGCGCGCGGAGTGCACACGTTACACCACGCACGCCCACCAAGCAAGCAGAAAGATGATGTCAAAGAAGGCGAACGGCGACGGCAGATTCAACTTGTTGCCGATTTGCCAAGGGCGTGCGCCGAGCAATGGAGTCGGGATTCATGTGCCACCCGTGCCATCCGTGGGTTGGGGTACATCACCAGCTCCAGGAGCTGCCTCATACGCTTCTTCGTTTTCCCTCGCTGCCACGAGCGGCTGCCCGCACAGCGGGGAGGAGAGCAAGCCAGGATTGTGCGAGTGCTGTGCAAAAAGACAAAACCGTCGCCCGCAGGTCGCCCACGCCGCTTGTCGGGACTGTTGGGCTGTTCGGTGTCCGTTCGGGCGTCTTCTCGATGTAAACCTCAGTTTTGCTGATTTTTCGATAAGACGCGTGGGTCGAACTTGGCTGTGGCTCTTTCTAGACTTGACCTGGAATTCGATTCTTATTTTTAGTTTCGATTCTGCCGATAAGAAGCACCCTTGCTCTGTCTTGTGCATGTTTTCAAAATGTAATCTCCGATGCTTCCTTCCACGGCAGGGTGGGTTGCTGTCGGAAATTCGCCTTCCTTCTCGCAAACCTTCGTGACTCCCTAGACGCAGGCGGAGCACCCGCTGTATGCGCATGTGCGTTGGGCTAGCAAACCCACCCCGCTCTCCTCCCAAAGCGCAATACCATTGAGCTGTAGTTTGTGCGCTTAGCATTCGCACAGGATTTCGTGTGCATGTCCGGATGCATACAGCAGTATGCTGATGGAAGTCGCATTTATGTCTCAGCCTATGCATGCAGTCATCGCGATTGTTGGAGCACCGCTCGCAGCATTAGCATTTGCTACCAAAAACCCGCCGATCTGGTCTTCTGATGATGATCTACGCGTATGATCGGGGCGTTTCAAATGTATGTCAAGTTCCTCTGCGATGCATCCCTTTACATTTTATCCCGACGAAGACTCTCGTCAACTGCAGCAGTGGCCCTGATTCCGTCTTCAACACTTGTGTCATGTCTTCTCCCAAAAATGATTACCCGCGGCCCGCCCGCCCGCCTCTTCTTTGTGCTTGTGTTGCCGAAAAAGTAGAAACTCACCCCTAACCGGCAAGTACGTGTGCATTTGATAGCGGTTGAAATAGTCCCGGCATCTTCTGTTGTTTTCGGGACTTAGATGCCAACACCGAAGACGTGTCTTCTTGGGCACGCGAGGTGTTTTTACTACGATAAGCGGTTAGGATACCAAGCTCCAACAGCTCGGTACATGCATGCATAGACGGAAAAAATGAAACAGTGTACGTTACAAAGGCCACCAGTTGGAGGCAGCATTCGCCAATGGCGTTGAGCGTTACTGGTATTCCTGTTGCCAAGGCGGTACTGCCGTGTATTGTACAAGGCTTGTCGGCGATATGTAAGGTGTTCATGCCGTTGCCGCCGCCATCGCCCCAGCGCGCAACAGCAGACCTGCGAGTACATCGCAGGGTGAATTTGCCTACGGACAAACAAACCATGGACGGCGTGTCGGCGTTGTAGAAAAACATTTCTAACGCAGCAGGTGGACTGCTGCTTTCTCCCCGATGTGTGCACCGAGGCGATGATTGCTGACGGGAGGCGACGACCCTGCTGTTTGCGTCTGTCTCGAGACAGGAGCTCAAGATGATCAGGATGAAGCTGAGGGAGTCGGGGCGTCAGATACGCTTCCGGTCGGAGGTGGCGAAGCCCTCCAACTTCCGGGAGCTCCTGAACAGCGGGTGCAGGATGCTGCACTACACGGGCCACGGGAACAACGAGTTCCTCGCCTTCGAGTCGAACGACGACCGGATGTGCGGGATCATGGAGCCTCTGCATGTGCGTGCTCTGGTTTGGTGTGAAATCTTTGGTTTTGGACGTCCTCCTCGGAGTGTGCAGGGTCGATAACCTCTGCACGGCTGAAACAGAGTACCGGCGGCATGTTTTTTTTTTTTTGCACATGTATCGTGGACTGCTGTAACCGCTGTGGTTGTTCGGCTGTCGTCCTACCTCAAGACTTGCAGAGATTAGGAAATTGCTCACGCACGTTGTCAGGTACAGTATTTTGTCATACCTCTCAGTGGAGACAAGCGCCCGGTGGTTTTACTTTCTTTCGTGTTGGTCCAAATTAACCTCCCAAGCAAGTCAACCTCCTCCATGTTTTGTCGGTGACGATCAGCAACCTCGGAGACATGACTGTTGCTTTTCGGCAGGAGTTTTTTTTTCGTGCGCGATGCCTTGCCGACTTTGCGCCCCAAGATAACACACGGCTTTGTCTCAAACGCATGGCCGTTGTCACTGCGAATGGTCTTTCTCGCGCTGCCGCAGCCCCGACGTTTCTTCTTGGCACGATGGTCCATTCACGCGCGTCGCGCTGCTTCTGCAGGTGGGGCCTCTGAAAAACCTGTTTCAGGCTGGGGGTGTGCAGACGGAGCTGGTGTTTATCAGCTCTTGTTCCTCGGAGGCTAGCGGTAACGCATTCGTGGACGCAGGCGTGCCGCACGTGGTGGCCGTCAAGCGGGAGGAGAGCGTGACCGGTGAGCCGGTCGCCGTCGCTTGTGTGACCTTCCTTGTGGTCGTCTCGATGACGATGTTGTTGTTGTTGGTGGCGATGATGTTATTGTTGTTGTTGTTATTTTTCATGGCGAATGTTGTCAGCGTCTTTTGGCCTTTGTTGTCGTTGTTGTTATCGTGTTGGTGGTGTAGTCAGTGTCGCTGTCTTGTTGGTCTGTTATTTGTGTATTTTGTCCTTGTATTGTTGCCGCCGCTGCTGCTGCTGCTGCTGTGCCTGACATCTCGGCAATGCTCTGCTCGGTTTGAACGATTTCCACAACACAATTCGAGAACTAGTTTTTTTTTCTTCTGTCGCCCGTGCCGTACCCCCACCGCCGCCTTGGCATCTTCTCGCCCTTTCCCACCGCCGCCTTAGATCAAGCGGCGCAGCAGTTCGCGAAGCAGTTTTACGACGCCCTTTTGAGTGAGGCCGGGAGCTTTACCGTGCAACAGGCGTTCGACATCGCCCTCAACACGGTCAACGCCCACCCCCCGTACGCGCGCCCACAGGGAGACCACTTCCTCCTGCTCCCGCACGGTGCGTGTTAAATGCCGAGCAGCACTTGAATCAATCGTGTTGGTCAAGGAGGAAGAACCTGATAGGGGTGTAGGAGAGAGAGAGGAGGTGGTGAACACCCTCAGCTCGCCGCTTTAGGTTTCGTGATGTGGCACCGCTGTGCCAATGTGTTTTCGCCGGAGGCTTTCACCTTCGTCTTAGCACGGTAGTAGTACTCCTCGGTTTTAGGACTACAGCAGTAGAAATGAACAGTACAGCCCGTTTTGCCCTGAGCTAGAAGCGCGTGAAGGCACGGTGGGTTTAACGCTTCCTCTACCCATACCCTCACGCCCGCTCAGGCGGAAACCACGACGTTCGAATTTTCGACACGCTCCCAGAGGGCAGTTTCGTCGACGAGACCCGTGAACCGCCCGCTCGCCCGCGCTGCGCACGGCCGGTGCCGTTCTACCAGGGCCTCGAGGAGCTTCAGGTGCGAGATTTTTTCTTGGCGTCAACCAATGGGAGAAGAGGAGGGAGGGGGGGGGCGAGACAGAGGGAGAGCGGATTGCCCACGGCGTTTAGACTATTATTCCGTGCTTGGTTGGCAAGCGTCACCCCTTCTTCGTCTGAGTGCCAGGGTGCGGTGGTGGCTAGGGTCCGGTGGTTGCCGTTGTTGTTGGCTTCACATCATTAATAACCGTGTCTGCTGTCGACGTGGTGTGTGGGATACACGCGACACGCGTGGGCGCAAGCGAGGGTGCGCGGTACATACGTATTGGCATGCGTTTCACTAGCCGCCGAGAGTGATGATGGGATGATTTTCGGGAAGCGGTTGAGCTCAGCGTCAAAACTCGGCAAGGTCCACGGTCTAACGGCCACGGCATGCACGGCTCTGAGAACCCCCCCCCCCTCTCTCCATCCCTCGCCATGTGTTTGCCGTCCGTCCTTCGCGTGGTGTTGGTGTTGATATACATCACCGGGTCGGCGCTTGCAGAAAGTAGTGGAGATGCTGGTCGACCCCGTCACGGCGTGCGTAACCGTCACCGGCGAGCACGGATCCGGCAAGTCTGAGCGGGCCATCCAGGCCTGCGACTACGTGCGGATGCGGCACCACTTCGACGCGCTGTGGTGGGCTGATATGAAGCATGCCATGGCGACGGCCATCAACTCGAGCGTGTGGTTTTACGATGACCCTTGCCGGCTGGTGAGAGCGGAGAAGGGGTACTAACGTTCTGCCTGCCCTTAGCTGTTAGACCATTGACCGAGTGACGGGAGAGCGGGCGAACTCATGGTTTGCGTGCGTAAGNGAGTCGCATGAAGGGTGCGCTGCATCCTGCTAAGGCTGTTCGGCATCTTGTGCTCACTTCCTTGCGTACGGATGACGGCTGCGTATGACTTAATTTATTTTCTGGTGCTTTCACTTTCAGAGGCAGTTGTAAGCACCGTGTAACTGCGTCGAGGGTGCTTGACCATTTTAACACAACGTGGTGCGATCATCCCCCTTGCGCGGAGCGGGTTCTCCACCCCGCACAACATGATCTACTCGACCACCATTATGGTTACCGCAAAAAAA